CAACATAAATACAACTGCAAATGACCGCCAATGCCATCAATGGGGAGCAAACAGTGTTCTCGAGTATTTTCTCGGCTCCTGATCAGGAATCCGGGGTAAGCATGTAAGTACTTCTCGTTCCCTCCTTCACAGGACAGCCCTGTCTGCCTCCCCTCCTCTTCCCATCATCTTGTGGGATTTCCTCTCATCACCTGGGCTTAGCTTAGCTCTGGGTCCCTGCCTCTTCTCCTGTCTCCACCTCTTCCTAATACCAGCCTAGAAATCCTGCGGCCATGCCAGTCCCAGAGCCCTTTCCCCAGAGCTGTACCGGGCTCCCTTTTAGAGATCAAGCACAGCCTGGGCCTATCTGGCATCCCTGGGGATTCATGGGCTTTATCATTATCCCAAAATAATCCTAAAGCACAAAACCACAGCCTCTCGAGTTTCAGCTTTTCCTCCCGGACCCCTGAGCCCTACCTCGCTGCAAGGATCGTGACAAAGACAGCATTCAGGGACCTCTGAGTCGTGGACACAAGGGCCTCGTTGCTCACAGCGTTCAGTGTGCAGGTCCCTTGGGAGAAGCCGACCTGTTTTTCAAGCTGAAGTGGAATTCAGTGCAGAGCCTCTGCCTTCCCCTCACAGCAGGTGAAGTGGTTCTACCTGTGTCTAGGGGAGTCCAAGGGCCTTTCATCTCAAATTGTCTTTGATGTTTAACCCAATCGCTCATACGCCTGACTCACTCTGACCTTTGTCTCAAAACCCTCAGCGTGCTCTCAGTGTGGTACCTTGGACCCTGGAGCCCTACACCCTCCCCTCCTGCAATCAGGTAACTATATTCCACAGGGCACTTGGGCTTCCAGTCCTAAATTATCTTTTTGGCTTCCAGGGGCCAAAAATTAGGATCCTTTAGTTTCTGTGTCCGCAAAGATGCTCAGAGGTATAATTCCTGGAGATCTGAATCTCTGGCCAAAGGCAGTCATGAGCCAACCACCCCTCTGATTGCACTGCCCTGGCATGGACATGATCTCTAATTCCCTCAAAGCATCAAACACAGAGCATGGGAAAACACCAACATAACCAGTGGGGTTATGTAGCCACCTGTAGCCCTTCCCCAACTGCAGAGACTGTGTTTCCTCGTGGCTGTTTCCCCCTGAGAGACTGGTGGATCCTTGGGAGGACCTGGGCAGGTTTTTCACTGGTCTTTCCCAGGCATAAGACATTAACGCCCAGTGCTCAGCAAATACGTGTGAATGAACAGCCTACACTGTAAGATGAATCTTTGGGGAGTGTGTTTGCTAATGTGATAACTTGAGAGTGATTCTCCAACTCCAAGCACTGGTGGATTAGTCACATCACTAAATGTTTCGATTCTGCTTCCAAGCACAGCCTCCCTTCCCCGGGCCTTCCTCGTGTACTGGAAATGAATGCTAAAGGACGTGGCTTCAGGAGTGGTCTATTGATGATCCCGTCATGTAGAAATGACCTGGATCCAACGCTTTCCAGGTTGGGTCCATGACTGACCATCAATTTCTATCATGTTTCTCTGTTGAGACTCTGAACAGCTGGAAATAGCCTGTTTCATTTCTAAACTCCAAGGGGCAACTTCAAGTCATGGAAGAACTAACATCTCTTTGACGCTGATGTTCTGTGTTGCGTACTTGGCAGACAAAGACCTCCATATAGTAACCCGAGAGCCACTTCCTACTGGGATAAACCCCATGCCTACTTTTGTGTGTGTGTGTGTGTGTGTGTGTGTGTGGCCCCGCCCACGGCATGCAGGATCTTAGTTTCCTGACCAGGGATTGAACCCGTGCCCCCTGCATTGGGAGTGCAGAGTCTTAACCACTGGACGGCCAGGGAAGTCCCCCCGTTCCCATTTTAACCAGGCATCGTCTGCTCTCTCTCAGTGTGTGGAGCCCAGACAGCTATCAATTTACCCACACCAGTTCCTTATGGCAGAGCCCTCGGTCTGATTTAAAATATTGACTTGGCTTTTTAAAGTATGGCTGTGCCTGGGCTGTACTCCACCCCAGGAAGGAAGTGATTACCTTGACTCTGACTTGTGACCAATGGGTGGAACTTGTCACTATACCCAGAGCTTCTAGCAACCAGATCAGAGCCTGCTGCATCTGGTCACTCGAGTCATGGGCCCCTTTGATCAGTTTTGGTTTGGTGAATTCACTTCCTTTCCCTTTATTGACTTAGATGCCACTCTCAGGCTCCCAATCTAAGAGCTTGAAACCCCTCTCACTGCCACCACCACCTGCAGGCTGTTACTTCTCACCTTATGTCCACTTCTAGATCTCATCTAGGACATTTTTGGGAGATGTATGAATAAATGACCTGGCAGGGAAAAACGAAATGGTTTCTAGGAGCATCTAGGGGGCCGACGGATGCTTCTGCTTCATTATTTGCTTGTGGCTAGAGGGACAAACCTTCAGATACCAAGAGATATGGAAGTAGAACCTACCTAACTTAAAATTCTTTTTTAGTAAAACCCCAGTGTTCTAAATCTTGCTGGCTGAAGTGCACAGGGATCCCTGAGAAAACAATTAATGCCAGATCAGAAAGGGTATCATACGTTACACAGGTGACCTCAGGGCCCCTGCATCAGGCAGGTGCGAGTCATCACTATGCCATCTACAAATTGACACTTGCCATCTACCTCTCCGAGGATTAAATCATGAGGTGCTTCAGCTGCTGAACTTCAACACCCCCTGAAAGGAGTTCAGGCTGGAAATCAGGAAAGAGGCCCTCTGGGCACTGGGAAAGACTGGCACGACAGTCCTTCAGATAGCCAGATATTTTCAGAAGAAGATTTTATGAGCCCAATTCTTGCATCTCCTTGTATCTAGAAAAGCACTAAAATCATTAATGGTGACATCTGCTCCTCGTGACCGGCAGCAACTCTCTGCAAAAAAATGGGCTTGGGGCTTCCCTGGTGGCGCAGCGGTTGGGAGTCCGCCTGCCGATGCAGGGGACGTGGGTCCGTGCCCCGGTCCGGGAAGATCCCACATGCCGCGGAGCGGCTGGGCCCGTGAGCCATGGCCGCTGAGACTGCGCGTCCGGAGCCTGTGCTCCGCAATGGGAGAGGCCACAACAGTGAGAGGCCCGCGTACCGCAAAAAAAAAAAAAAAAAAATGGGGCTTGACTGTACATACCCCTGTTCACCAAAATCATGTATATACTGACCTCCCCCGCTACCCCTTTGGAGCAGTTGCTCAGAGCTCTCTGAAATGCTGTCTCCCGGGCTATAGTCCTCATTTTGCCCCAAATAAAACTTAACTCACAACTCTCACGCTGTGCATTTCTTTTAGTCAAGAACTAGGTCCTTACCAAGGCCCGTGGTCATCAACTGAGATCCTAAAACCGTCTGGTCAGTAAGGGAAACCTGAGGCCCTTTGAAGAACAAGGAAGGTACTTCTGGCTACAACCCAACCCGCTTCCAATTAGAGTAATTACCACCTTCTGCTCTGGGGCCAGGGTGCCCCTCCTGAGATGCTCCCACCACCAGGAGTCAGAGGGGTAGCTCGGCCTACGGTAGGAGCAGTGACCCTAACTTCGGTGAGCTGGTAATGTTTCAAGTGGAAGTCTTTATCCCCACGGAATCTGAAAGCAAAAAGCACCCCTTGCGTGGGCCCATCAGGAACTACCACGTGGGGGAGGACAGCTCTGCGGATCGCACATCCCTGGCACTGTGTGTTGTGAGTTAGGGCCTTTCCTAACCACTGTGTGGGAACTCCCCACTGTGGGTTTCTCGCTGTCGCTGATCTAAGACAGACCCGGAGATTCTCCCTTCCGTCTACTGACAACCATGGATGGGGGTTTAGAGTGGGTAAAGATTAGGCGGGAAGATTGACCTGAGTCCCAGGTGCCTGCGGTTCACTCCGGAGACTGCAAGCCCCAGGCTCCAACTTTCCATCTGCAAAGTGAGAGCGCTGCTGCGATTTTTGGCTGCATAAACGCCGAGAGCCAGGAAGGCCCTGAAAGTGTCCGGCTGCTGAACACCAAAACTTTTGATACAATTCATCTCTACCAAACTCCTTTTTGTTGGAAGATTAAAATTCCAGATGCGGTTATCTGACAGTAAGGAATTCCCAGGGAACTTTCAAGTTCAAAGTTCCACCTCAGACCTGAAAATATCGCCAGCATGGAGAAATTTCCAGGAATCTGCACGACATCAGCTCCCCAGGGGATCCAGGGTCGGACCCTTGCCTTTTTGCCTCTTATTTCCCAGGGCCGTTTGGCCGTGTTATTCTGACCCGGTACAACCAGGGCTGAATAGGCCTCGGCTGAGGCTGTGAGCCGGTGCCGCCTCCCGCGCACGGCGAGAGGCCAGCCGGGGACGAAGCGCTGCTCCACCGCCGGTGAACTGCGCCTCTGCGCATGTTCCACGGAGACACCGGGGCTCTTAACGCTGCCGCGTGTCCCCGCTGGAAAGGGACGCCTATTAAGTGCTTCCTACTCGGGTCTTTCTGCCTCTCATCACCCTGAGTGGTGGCTCCTGAGGTCACTCTGCCAGCCGGCTCTGCGGCACCGTCTGCTCCTCCTGCATTCACGGGCCTCCCGGCTTTGCCGCAGCCCAGAGTCCAACGTGCCGGGGCCCCACTATTACCGCGGTGGGTCTTGGGCTGGATGCTGGCCTGGCACGCGTGTGAGAGCCTGGCGTGGGTTCGCGGGCAGGGCGACGAGAACCGCGTCTCAGTACGCGCCTCCCTCCAAGCGTCCCTCTGCGGGTCCCGGCTCTGCACACCGCCCCCCCGTCCCTTCCACCTTCCTCACCGCGCCCCCTCCCCCGGACCCTCCTTCCAGCAACCGGATCCCGGCTTCTCCACCCCCTCCCACCTGCCTCACCCCCTCCACGGGCCTCCCCCCGCCCCTCCCGCCCTCCCCTCCCCTTCCCTCCCCCTCCCCCTCCTCCCCTCCTCTTCCCTCCCCTTCCCCCTCCTCTCCCAGGCCTCACCTGCGGCCGCTCGCGCTGGGCGGGGCCCGACGATGACAAAGCAGCGGCTGGCGGCGCGGGATCCGCCCCCCGCGCTTCTCGGGCGCGTCGGCCCTGGCGCGGCTGTTATGGAAACGGGCTGGGCGCGCAGGCGGCGATGATGGGGCGGCCATGGCCCGGGCCGGCAGCTCCAGCGGCAACGCGGCAGCGGGCGAGCGGGCCGGGGGCGCTGGGCGGCCAGAACCGTGGGAGCTGTCCCTGGAGGAGGTGCTGAAGGCGTACGAGCAGCCCATCAACGAGGAGCAGGCGTGGGCCGTGTGCTTCCAGTGCTGCCGCGGGCTGCGGGGCGCGCCGGGCGGCCGGCGGCGCATCCGGGACACAGCGGACATCCTCCTGCGCAGGGACGGCTCGGTCAGCGCGCAGCGGGAGCCCGGCGCGGCTGGTGAGGCCGGTGGCGGGGGGCGGTGTCCGCTCGCGGGGAGGGGCTGAGACCCTCCCTCCCTTTGCTGGACCTGGACCCGGACCCGGCGCCCCGCTTCTGGCGCCTTCCCTCTCTGGACCCGCCGACCTCTCCCATTTCCGCGCCCTCCCTCTGCCGCACTGGGGGCCCCTCCTCCGCCTTCTCTACGAGACTGGAAGGCCCTCCTTCCTCCTCTCCCCTTTCTGGATTGGGAGCCCCCAGCAACTCTCCGCTGGGACGCGGACCTCCGCCCCTGGCCCCTGGTTTTCCTCTTTCCCTCTGCTAGACATGAAAGTCACTCTCTCGACCTGGGAACCTCACCCCCCCTTTCCTGGATTCTGCCCACCTGAAACCCATCTTAATATCAGGGCCCGCTGCTGGCTGGAGTGGAGGGAGGGGGCTTTGGCTCCTTGCCTGAGGCCCTTCAGCAGGGAGACTGGACTCTGCCCCTCCTACCGCGGTTCTCCCCACCTGGGCTGCTTCCTTTTTCCTCTGGGGGTCTGCAACCCTCAGACCTTCCCACCCAGTGACTGGTGGTGTGGATCCTTGTTGGACTGGTAGGTACAGGACAGGCGCTTAGGCACGAAAGGAAACACGTTTTCCTCGGGCTCGTTTTCCGTGGGTATGAGGATTTAACAGAGAATGTGTAAAATTTGGGGAACAACTTGCTTAGTGTTCTGCTCTGAACCATGAACGGGAACCAACAATGAAGCCCTTGAAAGGTACTTGAAGTCTATGGAGAATGCTGAGTTTAAGTGATTTGTAGCCTTTTTAAGAAAAAAGTTTTCTTCCTGGAGAAGCAGAGTGCTGGGACGGAGCATATGACGATATTACCCCCAAAGGTGATACCCTTGGGGAAGCACACAGGCCAGCTGTGTGTGCCGGAGGGGGTGGGTTTGCAGAAATCCATGGGCAAACTCATGGAGGTCTGGGAAGGACCAGGGCAAAGCTAGCCAGAAGCGACAGCTCCTTTGGTAACAGGGAGGGGTCCGCGGAACCTCTCCCACCCACTACGACCGACACTATTTCTCCACAAGCTCCTTCTCATCTCTGAACCCTGCTCCCACCTCCCTTAACACCTCAGCTGTGTGACACTTGAGAGTTGCTCTATTTTGCACAAAAACAATTACTTGACAGGAGAAAATAATAAGAGCTGGACCCAAACAGTACTGTTCCCATTTTACAGTCGGGTAAGCTGAGGCTCAGGCTTACCCATAGTCACACAGGAAGCGGCAGGATTTGGATTCAGCCCTGATGCTCTCAATGCCTGTGTCCACTGTCTTCAAAGGCTGGGCTGAGAGCACGATACAGGATGGCCTCTCGTCATCGGGGGGGGGGGGCCCTGGAGTCTGCATATTCACCAAGAGCTTTTCTCGTAAAGCTGTATGTCCTCCTTAAAAGACCTTCCCTGTGGCCCTCCTCATCCCTGAAGGCACACAGTGTAACCCAGGGGGTGGCCTCTGGCACCGCGGTGCAGTGCAGGACTATAATGGGCCTGCCTGGTCTGACCCTCTGATTTTAAAGATGGGGAAGCTGAGACACAGAGTGGTAAGTGGTTTGCCACCAGTCAGGTGCAGAGCTGAGGGGTCCCTGCATCTCTGACTGTGGGGTCAGTACTCTCCACAGTGGACCACAAGGGCCATCCTCGGGTGCAGCGGTCATCTGGGTCTGTCCACTTCTCCAGCCCTGGCGATGTGTCAGCCCCTTCTTCCTGGTCCCTGCAGGCCCAGCGGCGCTTGTGCTGCCTTCATACAGGTTGACTGGAAATCCAAGGCTGCGCTTCAAAGCTCACGTGTGGCCACTCTCCACTGACCTGTATGGGGACGTCCCAGCCCATGACACAGAGGGGCCCAATTGCATTTTCCCTTAGACATGATCTTTGGTTTCTGTCCATAAACACGTCTTGTAAAGGTGGATGAGGTTTGTGACTTGCTGCCTCTTTAAAGGTTAAGAAAAATAGATTACCCTGAACTTTCTCTTCTGTCCCTGTTGAGCTTTTGTGAATCAGCTGAAACTTTAGACCAGCTGTCTCCCTAAGGTAGCTAACCCAGCGTTTCTCTGGGACTTGAGTGATTACTGGATTCACTGAAAGATGCGTGTTTATCTCGTGCTGTAATCGCAGTTGAGAAGAAGGTTCCCATCCTCCCTCAGGAAGTTCTGGTAAATGTAGGCATTAAGTCAACGTTTAAAATAACTTTAAAGAAAGCAACAACCAGGGACTTCCCTGGCGGTCCAGAGGTTGAGACTCTGTGCTTCCACTGCAGGGGGAGCAGGTTTGACCCCTGGTCAGGGAGCTAAGATCGCACATGCTGCGTGGCCCAAAAGAAGAAAAAAGGAAAGACATCAACAACCAAACTAAACCTGACTTGCGGGGGGCCGGAGGTGTGGAGGAGTACTATTACTTTAGCATAGGAGTGGGAATACTTCCCACTTCCAGCTAAGCAGGGGAAGCTTACTCGAGTAAACTTCCTAGTCGGCAAGTCTGAAGACTTCTTCATAACTGCTTGGAAGCCCCCTTTTTCAAGTGGGAAAATGGAAAAACATGTTAACAGTGAAGTTATTTTTTAAAAATATTTTTTAAATTAATTAATTTACGGCTGCATTGGGTCTTCGTTGCTGCACGCGGGCTTTCATTGCGGTGGCTGCTTTCATTGCGGTGGCTTCTTTCTTCGCGGAGCACGGGCTCCAGGTGCGCGGGTTTCAGTAGTTGTGGCTCGCGGGCTCTAGAGCACAGGCTCCATAGTTGTGGCACACGGGCTTAGCCGCTCCGCGGCATGTGGGATCTTCCCAGACCAGGGCTCAAACCCGTGTCCCCTGCATTGGCAGGTGGATCCTTAACCACTGCGCCACCAGGGAAGCCCTAACAGTGAAGTTATTTTTAAGAGGCCATTATTAAAACCTCCTGATGGGGAAGGGTGTTTTGTTTTGTTTTTAAATTGAGGCAAGAAAGTCCATCAGGCATCTCTGCAGTGCGTGTGCTGACCGTCCTCTGAGGCAAAGCCCGTTCATGCAGCGTGGCCAGTGGTCAGTGGTCCTGGGACACTTTCAGTGGCATTTGTCCGCCTGATGCCTCCAGGGCAGGCCCGCCAGGACACTGCCTGCTCCAAAGCAGCTCTCGGCTGTCACCTTACCTGAGACCTCCCGTCCTCCCAGCCGACATTTGCGGGGAAACATAGCATATTTTTCTCCAGGCACCAGGCTCTCCACCATGATAACCCCCTTGGGCAGGTGGAGGGTGGGTGCAGGGTGTCGATGGGGCTCCTTTCACCTCCGACCTTCTCCATTCTGCTTACGCTAATTTACACATTGCCCTGCTTTTCTGGGGTTTTTTTCTTGTCAGTTTTGATGCTGGAATTTTTCACAGGCCCCTCTCTTCACGCTTGGGTGCTCATGCGACCTGTCCGCCAGGTCACACCTGCCCCTGCACCCCTCTTCCCACTCTGCCCTTTTCTGCCTGTAGTTCTGAGGCCACTGGCCCTTCCAGGCCCAGCCCCCCCACCAAGCACCAGGCCCTGTCTCCAGGGTGAAGCTTCCCCCTTGCAGCCCACCGCTGCCTAGAGGCAAGGCCTTCCCAGTTCACCTCGCTTGCAGCCCTGAGTGCCAAACACAGAGACCATTTAGTTTGTCCTGTGTTGGACCTTGGCATCCATGTGTCATGAGCTTCATGGGGCCCGGTTCTCTATCTACCTCTTTACCTCCAGCCCAGTAGGTGGAGAAGTAGCAGTGCTGGGGCCCCCACTTCTCCTGCATAAACTGGGCTGAGAGTGGCACATGCCCAGGGAGTGGGGAGGACTCATGAGGGAACATCAGTATGGAGCCCACATCACCCTGGGCCCAGGGATCTGTGCACACAGACACAGAGACACATGTGCTGCTGTTGCCGCCCCTGCTGCTGCCGTTTCTGCGCTGCTGTCACTGTTTGTGTACGTGGGGCCGTCTGTGCTCACTGGAGATGCCCCTTCCCACGCCTCCTGGCCCAGCACGTCCCTTCCCAGGCGCTGAAGCGGGACCCCTGGTGTTCCAGGCAACCCTGCGTGTCCTGTGGGCTCCAGGCCCTCAAGGTGGACTTGCTGGGCCTCACTGGGAGATCGCCTCCTGAGTGACCAGGGACTGTCTTTATAGCTTGCCTATATCTTTTTTAAAAATTGTATTTATTTTTGGCTGCGTTGGGTCTTCGTTGCTCTGCGCGGGCTTTCTCTAGTTGCGGCGAGCGGGGGCTACTCTTCGTTGCGGCGTGCGGGCTTCTCATTGCGGTAGCTCCTCTTGTTGCGGAGCTGAGTGTCCAGCAGTGAGAGGAGAGTAGGGGCTGGCTGGAAAGGTGAAATCCTGCTTCCGAGGAGAGCATACTTCCCTGAATCTCCTGGCAGCCAGAGTGTTTCTGGTTGAAACATTTTCTTTGAACCAGGTCCTTCCCGTATGGCTTTTGTCTCCTGCTTCTTGACCCCCCCCCACCAAAGCTACCATGCACCCTTGCTGTCACACAGGGGTCCTCCTGGGCCCTTTGCTCCTGTGGGGTCACACAGTCAAGATATGGTCCGGGGATGCAGCGGCTCCACCTTGCCATCCTGGGAGACGGGGAGCGAGGGAAGCACTGCTGTGAGCCCATCCTACAGACGAGAAAACCGAGGTTCAGGAAGCAAAGCAGCCATGCAGTCACCCTCGGGGAGAGGTGGGGACAGCGCTGGCAAGTAGACTCAGCCTTAGCTTGCGCCCACCCCTGCCTGACCTTGGGAGGTTACTTAGGCCTCTGGGTGCCTCAGTTTCATTCTCTGTGCAGTGGGGGTTTAATAGCAACTGCCCCAGAGGCCATGTGGATGTTTGGGGAGCCTTGGGGCATACCTGGCGCCGGAGGCACTGGCTTGTGGGCTGTGATCCCGGTCCCCTGCGCACCTCCCCAGACACAGTTGGGGAAGCAGCTCCTGCAGGTTCACGTGCTGGGCCCAGAGCAGGACTGCGGGAGGCAGGGGCCTGGGCGCTGCTCCACTGCACCGTCCTTGGTGGGAAACACCCTCCGCTGCAGAGAACGCCAAGCGCCCCCTTCAGGAAATGGGGGCGAGGGCTGAAGGCACTGCATGGGGCCCGTGGGCGTGCGCGCACGCGCGGGAAGGGTGCGACTGTGTGAGCTGGTGTGCTTGTAGATAGCATCGAGATTTAGTCTCACCTCTGAGCAAGGATTACCTCACAGGAAGGCAGTCCCTCGACAAGCTGTGTTCCCTGTTGGGACACCTGTGAGATGCCTATGCCTGGGGTCACATGACAAATGACCCCACGGTACGCTCAGCCCACCCGGCCCTTTGCCAGTCCTGCCCCATGCTTCTAGGAGAGGCTTCAGGTCTTTGGGGTCCCTGGGGGACCCGTGTGCCCTGGAGGCTTCACTCATGGGGTATGCAGCCCAGCCTCTCTGCCACTGTAGGGCCCCACTCCTGCTACCCAGGTCTTCACGCAGAAGGGGTCCTTGGTCCCCGGGACAGCATCAACGGTTCAGTGCCAGGGCCACGCTGTGGGGGCCGAGGTATTTGTGTGGCTCCCACAAACGGAGCACTGGGCACTGGTTACTCTGGTCCCAGGATGTGGCCGTCTAAGCAGATACGCCAGTGAGTGTCAGATGCTAGGGTTTCGCTGTGATCCTGTTAGACTCCTGGGAGGGAGTTTGGCCTCCGGGTATGGCCCAGTCAAGGAGGAGGTGGCTTGGAGTTGGCACCCCTGTAACTGGGCAGACGAGCCTGTCCTGAGCCCAGGGCGCCTAAGCACAGAGTGCCCACCACTGTGTCAGCTCCGCCCGGAAGCCCCAGCTCCACCTTTTGTTAGCTGTGTGGTCTTGGTAAATCTCTGTATCTCTCTGAGCTTCAGTTTCCTCCTCTGTAAAGAGGGAGACGTGGCGCCAGCCTCCACGAGGAGTCTGTGCCAGCTAAAGCCACGATAAGTCATTTGCTAGCTCTGCAGCAAAGCACTGGGCACGGAACCACCGTGGGGCCCCCCAGTCCTTGCGACTTAAAATACAACTGGGTTGGTGAACACTCACCTTCCAGACCGTGCTGGGTTGTGATGGGCGCTGAGGGCTGGCTGCCCCCTGCCCCCTTGAAATCAGGGAAACTCGGGGCCCTGGCACCTCCGGGAAGCACCTTTGTCAAGTGTGATCCCCTTGCACCTTCCATGGCCCCCGTTCACAGCTACAGGCTTTTACTGACCATCCAACACCTGTATAAGCCCAGCTGCTCGCTGGGAGTTAATGCTCCACTGATGCTGGGGGTGCAGTGTCTTCCGTTATTTAATGGATCAGCCCGACACAAACGCCCTTTATCTTTGGCAATCTTCCTGTCTCTTGATGGCGTTTTGAAAATATTTGCAGTTAGCAGGTTCACTTAGCAGAGAATTTCACGGTTTGGGTTTTTTTTGTTTGTTTTTTTTTTTTGCGGTATGCGGGCCTCTCTGTTGTGGCCTCTCCCGTTGCGGAGCACAGGCTCCAGACGTGCAGGCTCAGCGGCCATGGCTCACTGGGCTCACATGGGCCCAGCCGCTCCGCGGCATGTGGGATCTTCCCGGACCGGGGCACGAACCCGTGTCCCCTGCATCGGCAGGCGGACTCTCAACCACTGCACCACCAGGCAAGCCCAACGGTTTGTGTTTTTTTTCCACCTCAATTTAAGGCAGCTAAACTTCATACCCTAACACAGTTCTGCGTGCCTTATTCAAGGAAGGTGGTGGAAGGAGGTGGGTTTTCTGTGTCTCGTCCAGCCTGGCCTCTTGGGAGGCCCGGGGGTGGCTCAGGGAGGGACTGGAGCATAGATTCTGGGGTCCCCCAGCCTGGCCACAGCCGGCACCACCACTTACTAGCTGTGACAACTTGGGGCAAACGAGCTCACTCCCTTGGGCCTCTGTTTCCTCATCTGTGAAATGGGTACGAGAACCATCTACCTCCTGGGCTGTACACCGGTTACACGACTGAGTACTTGTAAACATGCCAACTCAGTGCCATGTTTAACGATAAACCTAATAAAATACCTAGAGCCCAATTCAGCACCTGGGTTTCGTCCCAGGGACTCTGAGTCTCTGGCAGAGACAGTCTGAGGAGAAATCCCCAGAGGTGGTGGCCAGACGCCAGCTGACCCAGCGCAGCTGTCGGGAACTCTGGAGCAAGGCCTGCCCTTTCCACTGCGTCTGGGTCTCTCATCTAGCTCTGATTTGGGGGTGTGCGGCTTCCGACCGTGAGGGCTTTCCCTGGGCCTGGCTGACCCGAGCTGGCCCCTGGCTACTTCCTCTCTCCCCTTTCACTCGTGCCCCCAGCCTTGCTTCCCGAGGGGGCGGGATGGACTCCGTGGCCCTGTTGGCTGCCCCCTCTGAGTGGTCGCTGTGCAGGGCGAGCAGGGGCTGTCTTTGCCAGCCGACCCTCCGCCCCTGGGGCAGGGCTGCACGGCTCGCCTGGTGTCCAGCCGGGAGCTGGGCCTTGTTGGTGTCCGTCCAGTGACTGATGGCTCAGCTTTCTGGTTTCTGATGGAGACCTTGGGCGATGCACTGTGTGCTCCTGGTGGGGGGACAGTGGGGGGCGGGGGCTGGCCCCGTGTGTTGGGTCCCAGGGCCGCTGAAGCTGGTCCCGACTGCCTCTTCTCTCCCCTTGCAGAGTCCACAGCGATGGTGTCACCGGCCAGCTCGGAAGCCCAGGTACTTTAAAAACAAACTCTACACGTTAAAAGTTAGGTGTCTTGTATAACGCACTTAAAGTTATACAGTTGCTCCTGTGAGGCAGGACGCAGATAAATGCTCAGTGGCTTAGTGGAAGGGCTTGATAGGGAGATTGAGCCCAGAGGGCAGGCGGTGATGGGGGAGCCCGCCAGGGTGGTGTGGACGCGGTGGGCCTGAGGTTCAGGGGGAGTGATGTACCTCCCTCCCTCTCCCCTGCGACCCCCGGGCTCCTGGAGGGGCCTCCCACTGACCCGAGGGAGGAGGGGGGGCAAAGGTGATGTGGTCTCCGGGGCTCCCTGGTCACAGAGTGTTGGACAGGAATTGGGTCTGGGGGACAAACAGGAAAAGCAGCCCACAATCAATGTCCCGGAGCCCCCATCCAACCCAGAACGCAAACCTCACCGGCAGGACCTCTTCCTGTGTCTCCCGTCCCATCCGCCCGCCCGCAGGTAATTGAATTTGATGTTTATCATTCTCCTGCCTTACGAAAACCAGTTTTGTGCAAATACACATTTATATATTAAACACAGTGTTAGAGCAAGGGTGTGGGCACAGGCCAAACGAGGCTGTGTGGTTTGCTGTGTAGAATTCAGAAACAATAATAAAACCATCCCCAAGTTTTCTGACTTTTTCCCATCGCCCCATGCTGGCCATTCTTAATAATGTCAGTGATAAGATACCCCTCTGGCTGGGGTGGATGCCCTGCTGTTTACACAGCATGGATTTCCCGTAGGATTGCCGTGAACTCTGTGCTATACAGTTTTCTGGAATTTGAGGGGGAAAAACCCAGCCACGCGTTTCCAAGAACCGATTTCACTGCTTGCCGGCTCCTGCTGCCGGGGCTGCCCTGCTGCCCGCAGGCCTCGAGTAGACTTGTGTTCACGACCTCCCGCTCCAAAGGAGGCCTCTTGTTAACAGTTTTGAAACTATTTACAAGGAACTCTGTATGTAGGGGTCCAGTCTGCACCGTTCTGCCTGGAGCCTCATCAATCAACCTGAGAGCCCCACCCGAGGAAGTGGGGCAGGGCAGTCTCCTATGCGGTTTGCCTAGATTCTCACACTGGCCCTTCGGTTACTCGGGCCAGTCCCTGGGGCTGGCCCACTGGGCCTGCGGGTGCCTGGTTCCCACGCTGCCCGGGCAGGCGGGGTTCAGGGTTCTGAGGCTCTTGGCTGGCTGCCCAGATTTTTCCTTATGGGGAAGCCGGTGGTCTTTGCCTCTGAGAACCTTTTAAGGAGCAGCTATCAGATAAGAGACTGCAGTGGAGTTAACCCTTTCACTGATGTGATGCCCGCACGGGCCTGCGACCAGGACCACCGGGGGAGGCTGGGTGGGCGGCAGGCTGTGCTGGAGCAGGGGAGCTTTGCTGCCTGCCCCACCCCATGGGGCACAGTGGCCTCCTTCGGAGAGACTGAGTCAGGGCCACCCCTGTGGTTGGCAGGGGCTGTGAGGTCCCTCCCGGGGGGTGGGAGTGGAGTTCACTCCCCCCTACCATCTCCTTCCTGGCCCCCACCTCTGAGCCAAGAAAGGACCGCTGGAAATTTGTGTAAAGTGGGGCCCTCGCCCACCCAGCGGTCCTGAGGGGCATCCAGGCGCTTTCTGGAGATCCCACTGCCGCAGGGACTCCACCAGCCACGGCCTGGCCCTTCAGTCACCTGTCACATGTGGCCGGCCTTTGGCCTTTGGGCCTCTGACTCATGGTTCTAGGGTGCGACTTGGAGCCAGGTCTGACCCTCGCCTCTGAGGCAGAGATAAGACATCTCCAGGCTGGGAGTGTTGTTGACTTTTGCTGGAACTTTTCTCCCACTGGGCCCTTGCGCGTCCAGTGTCCCGAGCCAGGCTTACGCCCCTAGGCCCCCTCCAGGCTCAGGGTGTCTTCGGAGGCGTTTCTGCAGGACAGGGAAGGCCTGTTCTCGTGCCCTGTCCCCTGCACAGCACTGACACTCGCGCCTGTCCTTCAGCTCTGCTCCAGCCCACTCCCTTGGGGTCCAGGGGGGTAGGATCACAGGAAAGGAGAGGAGAGGCCAGAAGGGCCCCGGAGGCCAGGTGGCCCGCACGTGCCTGGTGAGGGTGTAGCTGTGTCCGTGGCACAAGGTCTGGGCACCGGCTGCAGGCCAACCCGACCCCCAGGCCAGTGCGGCCATCCTGTGCTATTCTGTGTCTCTGCCCCACCTGTGAAACCAGAGGTTACCTCAAGGCTTGTGGCAAGGTTGAGTGGCAAAGAGCTGTTGTCATCTTGGCATGTGTGTGTCTTCTGCATCATTGTCCTCAAGGGAAGCCACGAAAGCAGTTTCAAACACAAAAACAAAGTGCCGTGCACACTGGATGCAGCTTCCTTAGTCTTTTTTTTTTTTTTTTTTTTTTTAAGGATTTATTTATTTATTTTTGGCTACATTGGGTCTTCGTTGCTGCACGCGGGCTTTCTCTAGTTGCGGCGAGCGGGAGCTACTCTTCGTTGCAGTGCACATGATTCTCACCGTGGTGACTTCTCGTTGTGGAGCACGGGCTCTAGGCGCACGGACTTCAGTAGTTGTGGCTCGCGGGCTTAGCTGCTCCGCGGCATGTGGGATCTTCCCGGACCAGGGCTCGAACCCGTGTCCCCTGCATTGGCAGGCGGATTCTTAACCACTGCGCCACCAGGGAAGTCCAGCTTCCTCATTCTTATTTCTTACGCTCAGCTGAGCCACTGGCTGGCATGGAACTGCTTTCCCCTTGGTGCCTCCCTGTCAAGCAGACCCGCGTCCCAGGGCCACTGTGTGAGCAGGGACTGTGGGGTGCACACGGCACTGGGACAGATGACTGTTTTCCACAGAACCTGGCTTCCTAGATGTTAATGGCAGTCTGTGAAAACAGGGTTCCCCACCAAGTAAAATTGAAAGCAGAGTGGAGAGGTCTCTCTACCGCAGGACTCATGTTTCTAATATGCTAATCCACTTTTTAAAAAACTTATTATGGGGCTTCCCTGCTGGCACAGTGGTTAAGAGTCCGCCTGCCAATGCAGGGGACACAGGTTCATGCCCTGGTCTGGGAAGATCCCACATGCCGTGGAGCAGCTAAAGCTCGCGAGCCACAACTTCTGAGCCCACGTGCCACAACTACTGAAGCCCGCGTGCCTAGAGCCCGTGCTCCGCAACAAGAGAAGCCGGCACAGTGAGAAGCCTGCGCAACGTGACTAAGAGTAGCCCCCACTCGCCACAACTAGAGAAAGCCCGCGCGCAGCAACGAGGACCCAACACAGCCAAAAATAAATAAATAAATTAATTAATTAAAAAAAAAAACTTACTATGGAGAAAGAATTTCAAGCATATACAAAGGCAGCAGAATAGCATGGTGGGCCCCGCAGCTAAGGATACACCTGTTCCCTGCGGGCCCCGCCCCTTCCCTCCCCACCTGCCCCCTGGTGACCCCACCCTGCTCCCCGTCCTCAGGTACAATTACTTTTTAGGTTTTTCATTTTCAGGTTAAATTTACATGCAGCTTAAAATACTGAAGGGAGGGGATCTTGCTTTTTGTGAGTTCCAGTGTCAAACTTTATCGAATAAGCTAGTCTTTCTCTTCTGATTTAAAATATACTGTTACAGCATATGAAAAGCTAATGTTTCACTAGGTTGCCTCTCTGTCTTTTTTTAAACAAAGCCGTTGGGGTAACTCACGTTTGGCGAGTTCTGACCAACGTGTATACCATGTAAGCGACACTGTACTCAAGAACACAGACCTTTTCCAACGTTCCTATGCTGCTGCCACCTCCACCCCCCATGCCGGCTGGGAGCCGTGGGCCTGCCCTTGGGGACTGTAGATTTGTATGCGGAGCCCAGCAGCCTGGAGTTCTGGCTCTGGGCTGTGCACGGGGGTCAGGGCTCCACACGGCTGCCCAGCTCACGACTAGCATGGATACACGTTTTTCCTCTCTCTTGGTTCAGTTCCCCAGAGAGGAGCTGCAGTCCCGTGGCAAAAGCGTGTTGGATTACAAGAACTTGCCACACGGTTTTCCACAGTGGCTGTGCTGCACGGGGAGCACCCTGTTCCCCGTTTCGGTGACCCTGGGCGCATCCCCAGGGAGGACAGCTGCTGTTCCATTTCACCATTAGAAGCCGCACGGTGGTGACCTTCTCCTGCGGCAGCTGGGACCCCGGCCCGCCGCCGGCCCCCTCCCGGCACCCCTCCAGTTCGTGTGTGCCCTCCCTGCCTGTTTGTGACCGCGGGCCCCTGTCCCGCAGGTGGTTCAGTCGCTGGGCTTCGCCATCTACCGCGCGCTGGACTGGGGGCTGGCGGAGCACGTGGAGCGCGAGCTCAGCCCGCAGCTGGAGCGTCTCATCGACCTCATGGCCAACAGCGACTGCGACGACGATGGCGGTGGCGGGGCAGCCGACGAGGGCTACGGGGCCCCCGAGGAGGAGGAGGAGGCCGAGGGCAGCCCCCGCGCCGTGCGCACCTTCACACAGGCCATGCGCCTGTGCGCCGCGCGCCTGACCGAGCCCCGGGGCGCTCAGACCCACTACCAGGCCGTGTGCCGCGCACTCTTCGTGGAGACGCTGGAGCTGCGCGCCTTCCTCGCCAGGGTCCGGGAGGCCAAGGAGGTGAGTGGAGACTGGGGGACGCCCAGGCCGTAGGGACCAAGGACACGGGGGCGCCTGACAGGGGCTGAGGGCGAGGCAGACGGGACACGTGGGGGCGGGTGGAGCAAGGGGTGGGGCCGTGAAGGCGCCTCCACCCGCAGAGGCGGGGCCAGGAGGGCGGGGCCAGGCTGTCCCTCCCCAGTCCCTGCCTCCTTCCCTGTGTCCCTCTGTCCGTCCACAGGGGGTGGAAATCCTCGGCTCGCAGCTCACTCTGTGTGGGAGTGCCCTGAACGCTTTGTAGGTTTTAGCTTAACCCGCACACCTCCTGCTTACCCGGTTTTGCACAGGAGGGAACTGAGGCTCAGAAACTTATATAAGTGGCACCTTTACCCCGTGACCTCACTCCTGTTGCCTCTAAGTTAGTTATTAACTTCTCTGATCTCCATGTTTGCATCTGCAAAAGGGGCTGTGCCTCCTGCCTCCGGCTCACCTGCCCAGGTGATGGTTCCTTCCGAAAATAGGGTGCAGAGGGCGGCCCAGGACCCATGCAGAGGTGCCAGCGTGCTGGAGCTTTGGGGAGGTGGGCAGTTCAGTGAGAGGACACTCGCCCAGGTGTTTGCCCCGCTGGTGACAGTCTGCTGTTCCCCTCCACCTCCCTCCGCGGTTATCACCCTTTTTCCGGATGAGCAGTTGGAAAGCCTCTGAGAGGCTGTGTCCTTGCCCCACGCCACAGCTAGTACAGAGCAGAGGGGGCCTGACCCGGCTCCCAGCTGGCCTTCTCCCGGGGCTGCTCCGCTTCTTCGTGGTCTCAAAGTCACAGGAGGTGACAGTCTCCGCCCCAGCTCTCCCAGCCTCTCCCTTGGCAGGAACTGAGGTGTTTCCTTGAAACGGGGGTCACAGCCCACAGGGACCCCTGCCTTCCGCCAGCATTTCACAGATGAGAAAAAGCAGAGATTTTTGGAGAGGTCGGGAGGTATTTTTGGAATTAACTGCTGCTGGTCCCTGATTCCACCCTGGCCCTTTGTGGGCACGTGTCTCTCATTTCCTCTGAGCAGGAAGCGTTCCTGCACAGCTTCTCTGGCTCTGAGCTTGAGCAGGCTCTCAGGGTTGTTTTGATCGATGGGCCTGGGACCCAGCGCAGGACAATTCAGATGCTCCTTGAGCTACTTGGCCCTTATCTACAGCCCAATCCTAGCCCAAGGGGGGGGGGGTGGCCCCTCTGCACAGCCTGTGCCTCCAAAGCCCCATCCCCCTTCTTCCCTCCCCACGCTTCCCCGGCATCTCAGAGATGTCCTTCCAGTGCTCTCATTGTGGATGGTCCTAATGGTTTTCTGTCACCTGTCCTGTTGCTGAGGTCAATTCCTTACCCAGGCAATAAAAGCTCTTTGTTTTAGGAGCAAACAGCTCTAGACTTCAAGCAGTTGACCCAAGAGAAGTCTGGGAAATTGGAGGAGGTGGTGAGAGGGAGGCTGTTGGTGGGGCACAGCTGGGCTGGCATTTGGGGCAGAAACAGCCTACTCAGGGGGCAGGTAGAGATACTCCAGGAACGACAGGAGACCCACCTTCCTGCCCTTTGCGGAGACCGCCAGGTCACACGCAGGTCTATTTTTAGAATCACACACCTTGTGCTTCTCAGAGACTTGGCAGAGTTTTCTAGAGCGTCCCAAAGCAGTTTGGCAAGTGGCTTGGGGTGAAAGCCAGGGTAACCGGTTCTGTCTGATTTGGGGGATGGGGAGGGCGAGGCTGTGCGCCAAAGGCAGCTGCGTCTCCAGGGAGGAAGATTGGAGGAAGAAAGGCAGCTGCTGCCAAGATGCAGGGCAACGAACCTAGCAGCTTCTTCCCAAATTCTCAGCATAGAACAGCTACCTCACGATCCCCGACATCCTTCTTGGGCCCTCACCGTGATGGCAGCATTTTCCCCAGGCCGTGAAATCCATCCCTGTGGCTGTTTGCCTTGGCCTGCTGAGTAACTCACCCTCTCGGCTGTCCACCCACCCATCCAACTACCCGTTTATTGATTCATTTATTCATTCAACCAATGTTTAAGACCTAGCACGTGTCTCACACAGTGCTAGGAGCCAGAAACACTAAGATAAAAAAATAAAAGCAAAAACAGAAAACGTGGTTCTGGCCTCATGGAGCCAACCATTCAGGCAACAATCACAGCAGCAGATAAATGTACAACTGCAGATGGGATCGTGTGCAGAGAAGCGGCCGAGGGTGTCCCATGAGGGTGGGTGTGCGTGGGGCCCGGGGGCCCTGTGAGCTGAGGTCTGAAGCCCTCAGTGAGGGGGATCAGTGAGGGAAGGGGGCAGATTCTACTGCAGCCAGGAGGTACTGTGTGGGTGCTACGTGGAGGTTGTGCTTTCTCCCCTGCCCTTGCCTGGGAGATGCGGCCACAGATAACCAGTGGGACTCCAGTGTTCCCGTGGGGCTCCAAGGCTGATGGCCTGGTTCCCCCAGATATCTTTCTGAGCCCCAAAGCCTTGTCCAAAATGCCCACTTGTCCCTTTCGTAGCTGGTGGACCAGTAGCCCATGTGGTGCACAAGCATCCCCAGGGAGACAGGCCAGCAGGGCCCACATCCCCACAGCTGCTCTTCTCCCATTTCTCCTGGACTTACAGATGCTGCAGAAGCTTCGGGAGGACGAGCCGCAGTCAGAAAAGCCCCTGATGGAGCTCGACAGCCTGGGGCGCACGGACTGGGTAAGACGTGGCCCCCGCTGGCCCGGGGCACGGCCCGGGAGCCCTGCCCGGGGCTAAGGGCCATTTTCATCTTCTTGGGGGCCCAGGCCCGACTCTGGGTCCAGCTCATGCGGGAGCTGCGCCACGGAGTGAAGCTGAAGAAGGTGCAGGAGCAGGAGTTCAACTCCCTGCCCACAGAGTTCCAGCTCACCCCCTTCGAGATGCTGATGCAGGACATCCGCGCCAGAAACTACAAGCTGCGCAAGGTCATGGTGCGCCCCTCAAGGTCATGGTGGGCCCCTCAAGGTCATAGTGGGCCCCTCAAGGTCATGGTGGGCCTCTCTAGGCCATGGTGCGCCCCTCAAGGTCATGGTGGGCCCCTCAAGGTCATGGTGGGCCTCTCTAGGTCATGGTGGGCCTCTCAAGGTCATGGTGGGCTACTCAAGGTCATGGTAGGCCGTGTTGAAGGGGGTCCATGTTCAGCCCCCCTCTGCTCGCTGGAGCCCCTGCTTGGTGTGCTGGCCACTGAACTGGGGCAGACGTGGCCCGGAGTCACATGGTGCACGGTCCTTTCAGGGACACAGTGTGAAAAGGGCAGGGAGAAGGGGACCAGGGGCAGGAGCTGAGGCTGCAGGATTGTCGCATTTAACGCTCACATAGCCCCTGCTGTGTGCCAGCATCGCTGAGAATCTTAAACGTGCGAGTTAATTTCATCGTTATGACAACCCTTTGAGGTGGTGCCGCTGACCCCCATTTCCACATGAAGAATCTGAGATTCAGGGAAAGCCTGTGGTCAGGCCTTGAAGGCCACGGCTGCACAGCCACTGAGAGGGAGGCTGGAGTGAGGCCCAGGCGCTGCCCATGGCTGCATGAGCCCCTCTCAAGGCCACAGCCCTGGCAGGTGGGCCCTTAGCCTTGCTGCCCTCACCCCACACACAGGTCAACGGGGACATCCCTCCCAGGGTGAAGAAGGATGCCCACGAACTTATCCTGGACTTCATCCGCTCCCGGCCTCCGCTGAAGCAGGTACCGGCTCCCTTGGGGCGTTTGGAAGGTTGGTTCTGGGGCGCTCACTGCCCCAGGAGCACACAGGGCCTCCACGTCCGGCCTTGTGATGCCGTGGGCTCCGGATTCCTCACGCAGGGTTCCTCCCCAGCTTGGGAGTCGGCCCCCACCTGGCGCTGCCACACCCCCTGCAGGTCTCAGAGAGAAGGCTTCGCCCCTTACCCCAGAAACAGAGAACGCTGCATGAGAAGATCCTGGAGGAGATCAAGCAGGAACGCAGGCTGCGCCCCGTGGAGGACAGGCACTGGGACGAGCGGGGTGAGCACGGGACACCCCCTCCTCTGCCCCTTGCCTCCCCTCCACCCCCCAACCCGTCCTGTCCTGTCCTGCCTTACCTGCTGCCTGCCCCAGGGTTCGGCTCTCTGCCCTGCATCCTCAACGCCTGCTCTGGGGACGTCAAGTCCACTTCCTGCATCAACCTGTCCATCACGGATGCCGGGAGCACTGCCCAGCGCCCGCGGCCCCGGGTCCTGCTCAAGGCGCCCACGTTGGCTGAGATGGAGGAGATGAACATATCCGAGGTCAGAGCCCACGGGTTCCTGAAGAGATACTGAGGAGGAGGGGGGGAGGGGAGGGGGAGGGGAGGAGGGAGGGGAGGAGGGAGGGGGCAAGGACACAGCCAGCGTCCATCCGGCGTCCAGCTCTGTGGGGCGCGCCCTGCTTTGAAGCTGGTGTCCTGCTGTGGGGCTGGGTCTGCCCTAGGGGCAAGCATGGCCGGGCTCAGGACCCTTTCCCATCTTGGCGGCTCAGAAGGGTCACTGGGACGGTGGCCTTGAACCACTGTGGCCTCTGTACAAAAAGGTCTAAAGCAGAGTGCTCCGTCCTCCTGGGGCTGGGAAGCTGGGCAGCCCCCCTCAGAGGTGAAAAGCCAGCATGTCCCAGCGGGGCTCTGCATCCTGGCTGCTGCCCTCTGAGCCCAGAGACCAGGGTGGTGGCCATGTCCACGGGCCCCACCTGCCCCCCAGACCTGCCCTCCCAGGACTTTCCAGGAGCCGCAGACCAGGGTGTGGTTTTCGAGGCACCCGCCTCCCCCTGGCCTGGGCAGTGTGTAGCGGAGGCCCCTGTGCCCGACACCTTGGTCCAAGGACCGGCAGGAGGCGCTGGCGGGCAGAGAGGTCAGGGAGGTGCCGGCTGGCGTGTTCACAGGAGGAAGAGTCGCCGTGTGGGGAGGTGACACTGAGGCGAGACCGCTCTTTCTCGGAGCACGACCTGGCCCAGCTCCGGAGCGAGGTGACCTCTGGCCTACAGCCCCCTGGAGGCCTGGAACGGGCTTGGCCGCGTGCGGACAGCGTGCAGTCCTGGACGCCCAGCGCCCAGGAGCCAGGTGGGTGCTGCCCTCCCTTCCCTGGGCACCCTCCTGCGGGCGCCCTTTGCCCCTGCCCGGTCCCAGCGGCTTCAGAGGGTACAGGGAGCTCACACCTGCAGGAAGGGTATTTATCACCCCAGGCAGCCATCCCCCACCTTTTGAAACTTTATTAAATTATTAATACATACTCATTGTAAAACTTTAAAAAAAAGTTCCCATGATTCTATTACCTAGGGATAATTGCCGTTGACATATTGGTGTATAGAAAGAAAGCTGGATGGATGGACGATTGACAGATCCTTCTAGTGTTTCTGTCAATGGAGACGTGCCCACAGAGTAGCACACACCACTCTGGAGCCTGACCAGTGCCCTGGGTTTTGTCACGAGCCCCGCCCTTTCCCCGTCAGTCAGCACGCAGGACGGTACGGTTCTGCTGGCCACGCAGGGTTAGTTGGTCCCCTCCGTGGTGAAGGCTGGGCCCCACCAAGTGCCCCGGGTCACAGGGTTGCCACCCTGCCCAGTGCCTCCCACCGGGCATGGCCAGGCCCCCTTCTCTCCCCTCAGGGTCACCTTGAGCCCCTGTGTTGCTTTCTGGCCCCTCTCGGGATGGTCTCATTTGGTGGCTATGACTCACTCCTGGTGTGAAGAGGTCCAGGCCAGGCATTCCGTACCTCACTGTCCCCCCATGGTGGAGGTGGACCCCCTCTTCCCGCTCCGACCCTCTCTGCCCCTCTGGGTCTTCAGGCAAAGGGTGGTGAGGGGCGCTGACCGAGGCTGCCACGGCCCCATCATGGGGCTCAGATACGGGCCCCTCTGGCCTGCCGCACTGCACAGGCCCTCGATGTGGGTGATGTGTCCTCTACTAGACCCCTCACCCCCAGTAAACCACCACACCATCATCTCCTGCTGCATGGAGGGCCATCTTCCCCTTCCCTGGGCACAGCTGTCCAACGCCAGAACACCTGCAGGTTGTCCTGACAGCCCCCGGCTCTTCTACCAGGTTCTGTCAGCATCCAGTCCCGGCATGACCCCAGCTCCCCGCCACGCAGTGACCTGGGCTCAGTCGAGGACAGGCCTGGGGCCTCCGAGTGGCTGGTGAGTGACGGAGGCGCGGTGGTCCAAGGTGGCTGTGATGGGCTGGTGTGCCAGCTGGGCTCAGGAGGGGTGAGGGCTCCCCTCAGTGGTGTGCGGGGTCTACGCTCCAGCCACCCCATCTGGGCAGGTTGGGCTCAGGAGGGGTGAGGGCTCCCCTCAGTGGTGTGCGGCGTCCGCGCTCCAGCCACCCAACCTGGGCAGGTTGGGCTTTGCTGCCACCCCCTGGACCTTCTGGGTACTGCGGCCCCCTGGGCCGGAGAGGGGCCTTGCTAAGGGGATAGCCCAGTTCCACCTCTGGGGGCTCAGGACAGGTGAGAAGCCCATCGCCCTGTGCCTGGAAGGCAGCCTGGTGACACTGGAGAGCACTTTCTCAGGTCTCGACTCTGTGCCGCTCCCTCTCGGCGCCTCCATTTCATTGGCTGTGAATTTTGTCTGACTTTTCATTGTGAAGAGCTAACAGTTGCTGACGTTTTGAGGTCCCCACTTGGACCTGAACCTTGGTGCATGATTTTATCAAATGCAATGAGAGCAGTGAAGTGCCTCGGGGGCCACAGGGCACCTTGCTGATGCTTTGAGAGACAGAGTTCTGTGCTAAGAACACAGGACTGTTCCCCTGGGGGCTAGGACAGGGTGTACTCGCCATGGCGGCCCAAAGGGCCGGGCGGTTATGACGAGGTGGACAGGTGCAACCACCTGACTGGCAGACCCGGAGTCACAGTGGATGGTTGGCGCTGGGAGGGAGGTGGGAGCGGGGGAGGGTTCCAGGAGGAAGGGCAGTGGGCCTGGGGACTCTGGCTGGCTCTGACTGGCCTGGTGTTGGCAGGTGGGGAGCAAGGCTGGAGGCAGATGCTTCAGGTCTGGGAGCACTGCGGACGAAGGTGGGATGGGCTGAAGGGTTACATGTGCAACGAGGCCATCGACGGGCTGGGGGCTGGCCGGTGGGGTGGGTGGGGCCAGGTCAGAGAAGCCTTGCCTGTAGCCACGCACAGAGAAGTCCCAGGGAGCGATGCGGCTCCCTGGCGTGGCCGAGCTGAGAAGCGGGGCGTTTTATGGAGCTGCTGGGCTTGGTGGACCGAGGCCAGGGAGGTGCCAGGGTCCTCCGGGAAGAGGGGAACTTATGGAGACGCCCTGAGAGCCTGAGACCGGCCCCTCGGGCCTCCTGCCATAGGAGTTCAGCCACCCTGTGGAGAGCCTGGCTCTGACGGTGGAGGAGGTGATGGACGTGCGCCGTGTGCTGGTGAAGGCCGAGATGGAGAAGTTCCTGCAGAATAAGGAGCTCTTCAGCAGTCTGAAGAAGGGAAAGGTGAGGGGCCCGGGGTTGGGGCAGGCGAGGGCAGGACCGGGCCTGGCGAGTTCTGGACAAAACTGGGCTCTAACCAGGCCTTTCCGTACAGATTTGCTGCTGCTGCCGGACCAAGTTCCCACTGTTCTCCTGGCCGTCCACCTGTCTCTTTTGCAAGAGGTGAGTGAGCCTTCTGAATGCACCTTGGCTGTGAATTAACATGGGAAGGAGGGGTAAGAAGCCTCTAGGTTTCTGTCTACTAGAGCTTCCTGCGATTCTGAGGATGATCTATCAGGCACTGTTGAGTTGTGCAAGGAAGGGACAGAATTTTTTATTTAATCGTAACAGCTGAGCAGCCCCCACTTTCAGCCAAGGTGGGGTAACAGGAAGCAGGACAGGCATCTTCCGCATGAAACAGCCAAAAAGAAAGAAAAAAAAAAACGTCAAAGACATGAAGCACTGGTTCTCAAGACATCAGGTATCAAGCAACCAACGGGAAGCAGACAGGGTGAGCTCTATCCTAGGACTGCCTCAACTCTGGACTCGGAGCCTATTCAGCTCCTGGAGTGGAGGAGCTAAAGCTGAGAACGAGGGCACCCGGGCAGCTAGAGTTCTCCCCTCTGGAGAGAGTCCTCCAGGAAGCAGGTCTCAAGAGACCTGCAGAAGGTCCCCCTTGAGTGTTCAGAGTTCTGATCAGCACATACACGCAAGGAAATTACTGAGGGTTTGGAAGGAATCATCTTGAAGCACAGATTGGCAAACTCCAGCCCATGGGCTAAATCTGGCCCACTGCCTATTTATAAATAAAGTTTTATTGGAACACAGCCACACCCATCTGTTTATTATTCATTTAGTCACACCTAAAATGTTGACTATCTGAGCTTTTACAGGAAAAGTTGACTGACCCTGTCCTAAGGGTTTAAAGGAACAGTACCAGGAATAGTGTCTATTCCCACCAGCCATGGTGATTCATGGCTGCTGAGTGGAATACACAGGAAGGTCTTGCCTCACTAGCGAGAATAAGTGCCCCTAGACTGAGCACTGCTCCAGAACTAACAAATCACAAAAGCAAGACCTGAAAGGACCAAACTATTCCCAAGTATCCTGACGGCTTCCCAGAGCAAAGCTCAAGAATAGGAATAAAAATATATCCAGCAGCCAGCAAGATAAAACGCCTGGCGTCCAATCAAATATTACCAGGCATGTCAAGAAGCAGGGGAACATGACCCATGACCCACATGACCCATGACCCACATCACCCAGAAGTGACACACATTTTAGGGTTAGCAGATAAGGACATTGGAAGGTTTTTTGTTTTTGTTTTTTTGGCCACACCGCACAGCATGCGGGATCTGAGTTCCCCAACCAGAGATTGAACCCCGCGCCCCCTGCAGTGGAAGTGCGGAGTCTTAACCACTGGACCACCAGGGAAGTCCTGTGGACAGTAAAAGTTTTGAACTGCATTTCATATGCTGCCAAAGTTAAAGACATGGAAAAGGTAAAGGAGAGACAAATCGAACCTCTAGACATGAAAACTGGAATGTTTGGGATGAAAATTACACTGGATGATTTATAGCAGGTTAGACATTCAGAGGAATGTGCAGAAGAAAAGATTAGTCAACTTGAAGACCTAGCAATAGAAACTATCCAAAACAAAATTATCCAAAACAAAAACACTGAGAGAAAAAATAATTTGAAAATGAAAAATGTGTTGGCAAGCTGTGGGATAACATTAAGAAGCCTAATATAGGTGTAATTAAAGTTCCCAAAGATGGGGGGGCAGAAAAAGTATTTGAAGAAATAACAGCTAAAAAGGTGTTCCAAATTTGATGAAAAATATAAACCTACAAGAAACTCAGTGAACCCCAAGCACAAGAAATATGAATAAAATCACACCAAGACACATAATAATTAAATTGATCAAAACCGGTGATAAAGAGAAATTCCTAAAGTCAGTCAGCAAATAAAGACATGTTATGTACAGAGAAAGAGAAAGATGACTGCAGGTTCCTCATCAAAACACTGCAGGCAAGATGTCAGTGGAACAACATCTTTAAGGTACTGAAAGAAGAAGAAGAAAAAAAACGGTCAATCTAGAATTCTGTACCCAGCAAGAGGCAAAAGTAAAGATTTCCAGAAATACAGAAGCCAAAAAAATTCTTCACCAGCAGACCCACACTGGAACAAATGTTAAATGAGGTCTGCCACGTAGATGGAAAGTGACACCAGATGGAGACCTGAATGTACACAAAGCAATAAGAGCACTAGGAACAGCAACTCCTAACATATAAGATTATCTTCTTATACCTCTTTAAAAGGTAAACCAATACCCAGCACCCAACATGGTAAAATTCAGTGTCCATCATCCAATCAAAGATTACCAGGCATGCAAATAATAAAAATGTATTTTGGGGGTTATCACATATCTGTAAGTAAAAAAATATAACAATAGCATTAAGACCAGAGGTGGAGGACTGTAAGTATGCTGTTATAAGTTTTTATATGAGATGGTAAAATATTACTTGAAGGAAGACTGTGATAAGTTAAAGACTATCCTATGAGCCCAAAAGCAACTACTGGAATGGCTTGTATGTCAACAAAGAAGATAAAATGGAATCATAAAAAAGACTCAATACAGAAAGCATAAACAGGAAAAGGGAACAAAGAACAAATAGGACAAAAAGAAAACAAATCACAAGATGACAGACTTAAACCCAATTATATCAACAATTACATTAAACATAAATGGTGTAAACAATCCAATTAAAAGGCAGAGTTTCTTGGATTGAATAAAGAAAGCGAGACAATCTGCTGTCTACAAGACATGTAATTTATTTTTAATTTTACTTTATTTTTTGGCTACGCTGCACGGCTTGCAGGATCTTAGTTCCCCGACCAGGGATCAAACCCAAGCCCCCTGCAAACCCAAGCATGGAGTCCTAACCACTGGACCGCCATGGAATTCCCAAGACGTGTACATTAAATAAAAGACACAAACTGGTTGGAGGGAGGTGGGTGGAGAAAGATACACCACACCAACATTAGTCTAAAGAAAGCTTGAGTTGATATACTGATACGATACAAAGTAGACTATGGAGTAAAGAGTATTATCAGAGTTAAAGGAGTTCATTTCATAACAATAAAAGGAGGAAATAATCCTGAACATTTTCCACACCTAGCAAGAGATTCAATATACATGGAACAAAACATTGACAGACTACAAGGAAAAATAGCTAAATCCATGCTTATAGTTAGAGATACGAAACCCTAAGGGTCTAGGAGGTTTGCATGACACTACCACCAACTTGATCTAAGCGACATTTAGAGAAACTAGACCGAACAGTGTGATGTATGTTCTTATCAAGTGCACACGGAACGTGCACCAAAATTGACTATTCTGGGTCAAAAAACAAGTCTCAAAAATGCGGAAGGATTCATATCATACAAAGTATGTTTCCTGACCACAGTAAAATAAAATCAAACTAATACAGAGGTTTGTTGACGGCGACTTAATTATGGGACATCCATGCAAGAGTGCATGGTCCCTTGTTTTAAAAAATGAATTTGGACAATTTGTACTGATGTGGAGAAGAGCCCTGGTGTATCTTTATAGGATAGTACACATGATACCCCATTTCATTTACTGTATTTTTACTTTAAATGTATGTTTTTGTTAATTTATGCTTAGATATGGAGAATGGAAACTGCTGATAGGAGGGATCATCTCTAGGATGGGCTTTACAGGAGAGGACTCGTGTCTAAATTAAAATTCTCTCTAGTGTTTGAATTTTTACAACAAGAAGGCATTTACTTTTGAAATCATGTATGGGAAATAAACACTGTTAATCACTGCTTAAAGATGGGCATCTCACTTGAGGGCCCTCTGGCTCTGACAGTGCTTGTGGAGAGAGGGGTCAGGTACCCTCCACTCCAGACCAGATGCTCCCCAGCAAGAGCGAGGAGGGGCAGAAGTATTTTGGGTGCAGAGCTGAGTAAAAAGAAAAGCAAGATTTGGGAGTAAAATGAAAGTAAAGCACTGACGTGGCCGGGGGTCAAGCGGGAGGCAGTGACAGCCTGGCCTCGCCTGTGTGCCGGGCGGGTGCTGGATCCCTCACAGCTGACACTGCAAACCCTCTTCTTTTCTCTCCAGAGCTGTCTGCAGTTCCTGCAGCATAAAGGTGAGGACCACCTGGGGTCAGGGCGAGGGCCCACATCTCAGGTGTCCTGCGGCCCGACCGGGCCTGTCCGGGGGTGGGCAGAGGCTCTGCTGTCTCCTGTCGGGTGATCCCTGCTCCCTACTCACCTCTTCAGCTCCTTCCTCCAGAGCGATCCGCTTCCACACTTCCCAAAACTGCAGTTTTTAAAGACCCTTGTAAATGGTCCCTTTTTTTAAAAATTAAATATTCTGTGTTAGTAGGCCAGTGCCAGGAGACCCATCTCTTTCTCTAAAAGTCCTCCTTCTGACACCCCAAATTCCTTGAGTGTCTTTGGAACGCCTCATTTTATAGCAGCTTGGGGTGTCTGCATACACGCAGGTGTGCACAGAGGTAAAGGATAATATTTGGAAGGATGTCACCCCTTTACACCTCGTCCCAGAAACAGTCATCTGTCTGAGGGATTTTTACCACCACTATTTTCAAAGCCTTACTTTTTATGCTGCCACTTGGCTATAGAGAGGCCACCTCGTCAATGCTGAGTGCTGATTGCATACAGGCCGCAATGCTCCACCTTGCGTGTTGGCAGCTGTCCGGGGGACCCGGGGGCCTGGAGTGTCTCTCTGTGTTGCAGGTGAAGATGCCGTCTAAGAAGTTTGCACACATTCCCGTGTACACGCTGGGCTTCGAGAGTCCTCCAAGGGTGCCAACCGCCAAAGTCACGCTGGCACAGAGAAGAGACGCCTTCCAGTGCGTGCCTGCCCTTGGTGACGTCCCTGTGGTGGGCAGGCGTCACAGTCACCTGGAAGCTGGGCGGGGGCCTGTGTGCTGGGGTGGGGTGGGGCTGAGAGGTCAGAGCCCAGGACCCAAATTCCTCCCAAGGAAGAGCTGCTGCGGGATGGACTTTGCTCTGCCTGATGTGGGCGCGGGGGGATGTGGAGACTCGGGAGGACCCCTGACGGCCCCGTCCTGCCCCAGACCCCTGCAGGGGCCCCACTGGCGGAGCGTGGAGGAGGAGTTCCCGCACATCTACACCCACGGCTGCGTCCTGAAGGACGTCTGCAGCGACTGCACCGGCTTCGTGGCGGACGTGGTGCGCTCCAGCCGCAGGAGTGTGGACGCCCTCAACACCACGCCCCGCCGCGCCCGCCAGACCCAGTCCCTCTACGTCCCGAACACCTGGACACTCGACCTCAAGTGATGGTCGCGGCCCCCTGGCCGCCTGGTCCGAGGCTTTTTGGGGTGCCCGGGTGGCCATGTTTCTGGGGAGGAGCCAGGCTAGTCCTGGACCAGGCGGAGAAGCCCCCGTCCTGGGGCACGGCGGCCCCTGGCCCTCGTGATGTGCATGTACATATATACATATACAGATACGTTTATATAATATATACACACAGCATATATATTTATATTCATGCTTCCTGGCCCCAGAGTTCATTTGGGGTCAGACTCACTCCAGGACCCTCCCTGGGGGAGGCTGTTTCCTCTCAGGATTCCTTGAGCAGAGCGGGGGTGGGGTGGGGTGGGGGTGGGGTGGGGCTGGGGGTGGGGCGGATGGGAACAGGTCTTCTCACTCAGATGCAGAGGGGGCACGTGGGCATACAGCAGAGGGGCTCTGGGGAAGAAGGTCCTACCCGCACGTTTTCTTTTCCGGCAGCTTCCCCTCCCTGGGTGGACGTCCAGGCCGGGACAGGGGTCCTTGGTCCCCAGGGGGCTTGGAGCACCCCCCTCGCACCTGTGCTCTCCTAGCAGGGCCGTGGGCTGCGGAGGCACCTGGGAAACCTCTGAGTGGGCTAGGATTCCCCTGTTGGGCATCCCAGCCCTCCACGTGGAAGGTCTAAGGCCAAGCTCACTCGTGGCCCCCACCTGACATCCGTACCCCGGCCATCTGCCACGCAGCCAGTATCGCTGGCCTCCCACGCTCAGAGGTGCGGGGATGGTGCTGGCCCGGGGGCCCTGGCGATGCTGGCGGTCCTGGTACGGGAAGGAGCTCTGTAAATTGTACACAAGGCCACTCCTGGCCGAATAAATGTGGTCTCACAGTCTCCTGGCCGGGGTGTGCACTGAGAGCTCTGCAGTTGCAGGGGTGGGCCTGTGCTCCAAGGGCGGACACTGGGCTCTGAGGGGCCACCTGCCGCCTGGTGCCGTCATGACACGAGCGTGCTCAGGCCCACTCCATGATCTGGCCATCTTGGTCCTACAGCCGACAAGGGCTGTAGGGGTGTGTGTGTGTGTGACAGCCGCACAACCTGCTGCCTGTCACCTCCCAGCCTGGGGACCCTTTGGCCTCATCCGCCACATCTCTACTCCTGTTCTCCAGGCAAAGGGTTCCCTCAGGGCCGGCAGGTTTGGGGGAAACGTGTGGGTGAGCACCCGGGTGCTCTGCCTGCCCACAAGGATGGGGGCTTCTGTTGTCACCCCCATCTTACAGATGAGGAAACTGAGGCTCAAAGAGGTGAGGGAATTTGGCCACAGATGCACAGTTTGCCCAGGATCTTCAGCCAGGCCTATCGGATGCCAGGCTCTAAGGCCTGGCACACAGATATGGGCCCGGAGGAGGCCCCAAGGGACAGAACTTGTAACAGACGGGCCTACGGGTGAGATGCTTTCTTCAGCTAGGGTCCAGGACCCTCAATAACAATTAGAGCAGCCAGGAGAAACAGCCCGTTCCCAGCACTTGTTCTGAGTACTTCATGGGCAGGCAGTATTGTTATCCCCATTTTAAAATGAGAAAACTGGCACAGAGAGGGTAAAGAATTGTCCCCGGTCACACAACCAGCAAGGAGAAAGCACTTCCAAGGGCAGATAACCCTGCAGGTGCGGAAACAGGGCAGGTGACACGAGCAGGGCCATGCTCCCAATAGGGGGAGACCCAGGTTCTAATCCTCACAGGAACACCTTGAAATGAAAGCCCATCGGAAAACAGAATAAACCCCATTCTGGGGCAGCTGGGCTAAGCCAGGAGGGCCCACATGGCTCCAGGGTGAGGTCAGGAGGGAGGGTCCTGCTGTCCTGGCTGCTGGGGCTCACCTCCCGCCGACCCCAGGCGCAGAAAGCTGTAGTGCTGGCCCAGGGAACCCAGTCCTGCCTCCACTCACCTAATTTAGATCCTGACAGATGGAGGTCGCCCGCTCTAGAACTGTTTACAACCAAGCTTCTCGCTGAGGAACAGGCCTTCGGGAGCACAGGGAAAGGCTCATGTTCAGAGTTGCCTGTTCAAGGAAGGCACCCCTCACAACCCCCCGGCTGCCAACTTAACAGACGGCAGGGCAGGAAGCAGCTCCTGGTGACACTCCCCTCGTTTCCATCCACAGGTGAGGCGATAAGCCTGCATAAGCTGGTCACACCTTGGAACAGCAGTGACACAGAATCTATTTAAGAACTAGCCTGATCCCTGAACAATCAGAGTTTTTAGGAGGATGGTGCCCTGGAGATCCTGTATGTGCTGAGCGTGAGGCTTAGTGGCTGGATTGGGTGTGTGTGTGTGTGTGTGTGTGTGTGTGAGGCAGCAGCCACGTGCCAGCCAGCGTGAAGCAGTTCAAGATCCCGGTGACCAGTATGGCTGCCAGGCCAGCGGTGCGAGCACTGGCACACACACCTGCTTCCCTTCTGGGGCTGTGCCAGCAGCCCTCCTCATCTCAGCTCTGGAACCACAGACACGAAGGCAGACCCACATTCTACCTGGGCCATTTCCTTACTCTCTGAGTCCCAGTTTCTTTACCTATAAAGGTGAGGACGTCTACCTTCCACGGCCAGGTAAGAACTCAGGACAGGGCTTGGCGCCACAGTGAGGGTCGTCCGCGACCCTCCTCCGTCAGGGTGGGAGGGCCCCTTCCCCACACCAGACCATCCTGCCCTAGCAGGGGTTCTCAATCTGCCTGTACACTCTAAACCCCTGAAGACCTTTTTTTAAAAATGTCAATGCCAGACCCCACATTGGAATTTCTAGGGATGAGTCCTCGACCTTCACTGTAAAAATCCCCCCAGGAGATGACGACACACGGTAAGTGTGGCGAGCCTCCACCTTAGACCACGGATTCCCACACCTATATGTACAGGAAAATCACCTGGGACGCACTAACGACGACAAAAAGCAAACGCCCAAGGCGTACCCTAAGGGTCGGTTTCAGCCTGCCGTGGGAGGGAGGTCGAGATGCGCAGCTTTGGGAAGCTCCTCGGCTTGGACGCGCCTACTTTTAATGAGGACAGAACTGCCTCGCCGGCAGCCCCTGGAAGCAGCCTGCAGCGGCTGGGCGCACCCCTCCGCGACCCGCCCCCAGCTGCCGCCTGGCCCCGCCCCCGCCCCCGCCCCAGCCCCGCGCTCGCTACTGGAGGCTCGGAGCCCCGCGCCGTCCAAACGTGTCTCGCTGGCGCGCCTCCAGAAAACCCGAAGACACCCGCCCGCGGAAGCGCCCAAATCGCGCGAGAACTCGCCCGTAAGTGCCTGCGGCTTCTTTGATGCCACCGCAGACAGAGAGGAAGTTCCGGAAGGCCGCAGCGCGCAGACGCGACACGCCAGACTCGCGCCACCGCGCCTTAAGTGCGCAGGCGCGCCGTTCGCTCTCTTTTCCGCTCTTCCTTCTGCCAGTCTCTAGACGTCAGCGGCTGTTGGGTCCTATGTCGCGCCGGGCCCTCCGGAGGCTGAGGGGGGAACAGCGCGGCCAGGAGCCCCTCGGGCCCGGCGCCCTGCAGTTTGTCCTCCACGATGACGATGATGTGGAAGAAGAAGGCCCAAAGCGGGGGCCCGGTGGCCGGCGCCCCCGGGGCCCAGGGAAGGAGGGCGTCCGAGTCAACAACCGGTTCGAGTTGGTGAGGCGTCGGGCTGCCCGGGGTGGGGGCCCGGGGTGGGGGCCCGGGGTGGGGGCCCGGGGTGGGGGCGGCATGCGAGGAGGGTCCGTGACGTCACGGGGCGGGGCGACTGGGGTCTTGGCTGCAGTGGGGGGAGGGGCGAAAGGAGTGGGCGGTGGCCTGAGGCCGGGGGCGTGGCTACGTTGGCTTTGGGCTTCGGTGAGGGGCGTGGCCATACGTCCGGGGGCGGGGTAAGTGGGGTCCTGGCTGCCGCTGGGTGGGCGGGGCCTGCCGTCTGTGGGCGGGGCCGCAGCTCAGTGGGCGAGGCTTCGCTCCCAGGGTCTGGGGTCGCCAACCCTGATTTCAGGGTTAAGTGTTTCCCTCGCGGTGCCGTCGCAGGGCCTTCGCAAACGATCTCGGTTGCTCCTCACAACCCAGGACTCGGTGCCTCGCTCTTGCCCATCGCTGCGTCCCCGTAGCAGGTGTCTGGCACAGAGAAATAACGCCACCCCCCACCCCCCCTCACTCCCCCGTCTCCGTAGCGCTGGCCTCAGTCTGTAATTTTGCACGTGCTCGTTCTCGCTCCCTTGACCGCCCCGAGCGGCAGGTAGCGTGTCTGCTTTGCGCACCGTGTGTCCCCAGCACCGTGCGCCCGGCGCACACTAGGGCGCGACCGCGGTTGCCGAGTGATTGGAGGAGTACCAGTAGGTGTGAAGATCGTGGAGAACACCAGCTGCCGTCTGTAAGGTCTGTTAGTCTGGCAACCGCTCCCAACTTCACAGGAAGTTGGCAGGTCAGGGGCCCATCCTAAGACTGGGGCGTGTGGGCTGCCAGTCTGGTAGTTTGGTTTAGAGATTGTCCACGTTCCTCCAAGGTAAGAGGCAGCCTCACCCTGTAGTTTCTGCTGGAAGCGGGACCAAGTCCGTCTTCAAATTCTCCAGACTATCCCGCCACCTCTTCAGAGCCTCCCCGCTCCCTTGTTTCTTGCCATTTCTTTGTTTTTAATTTTTTATTATGGAAAATTTTAAACACATGCAAAAATAGAGCAGTACAAGTAACCTTCACGGGCCCCCACCCAGCTTCCACGGCTCTCCACACATGGGCGGTTTTCCCCCAGTGCTCCCATCACATCATTTATCCCTAGGTTTTCCAGTCTTTTTTTTTTTTTTTTTTCCCCGGTACGCAGGCCTCTCACTGTTGTGGCCTCTCCCGTTGCGGAGCACAGGCTCCGGACGCGCAGGCTCAGCTGCCATGGCTCACGGGCCCAGCCGCACCGCGGCATGTGGGATCTTCCCGGACCGGGGCACGAACCCGCGTCCCCCACATCGGCAGGCCGACTCTCAACCACTGCGCCACCAGGGAAGCCCTCCAGTCATATTTTGACTTCTCTCAAAACCCTCAAGGCTTCTTTCCATCCCACTTGTTAACAGGCTGAAATGGGTTTGTGCCGAAGTTGGCTGTTTTCCCTGACGGTCTGTCAAGTGTACTTTCTCCTTATTCTGACATCCTCCAGGTTTAGTCTTCTTTTTTTCTCAGTCTTAAACAATGGTAACTCATTTGGAAAACGTTCACACGTTCCAGGCCGTGCTGCGATGTCATGTGTCTTATGGTCTGGGAAGGTCATGTTGTCCCCATTGTACGAATGAGGTAGTAAGTGACACCCACAGTGAAATCCAGGTTCTGGGCTCTTTTTTTTTTTTTTTTAATAAGTTTATTTACGTATTTATTTTTGGCTGCGTTGGGTCTTTGTAGCTGTGCGCGGGCTTTCTCTAGTTGCAGCGAGCGGGGGCTACTCTTCATTGCAGTGCATGGGCTTCTCATCGTGGTGGCTTCTCTCATTGCAGAGCATGGGCTCTAGGCACGTGGGCTTCAGTAGTTGTGGCTCACGGGCTCTAGAGCACAGGCTCAGTAGTTGTGGTGCACGGGCTTAGTTGCTCTGCGGCACGTGGGATCTTCCCAGACCAGAGCTCAAACCCGTGTCCCCTGCATTGGCAGACGGGTTCTTAACCACTGCGCCACTGAGGAAGTCCCTAAAATTGTACTCTTAATCGTGCCCAGGTGTTTGTCTCTGAAGCAAAGTTAGCGTTCCTTCTGAAGAAGAAAGGAGGATAGATGGACAGTGGGCCAGGGTGTGGGGATAGATGAAAAAAAAAAAAAAAAGCAGGTGCTTCTGTGTGTGAATAGAGAGAAAAGGTACTTTTCTGGACTCCCTGTGGTATCGGTCAGGTCAGAGGGACCCAGCAGCTGCCCCTGCTGAGTGCTGTGCTGTGCGTATCCTCTTCTGCTCTCTGGCAGGACCCTGGTGTTGCACAGACCTCCATCGTAGTCTGTGGATTCAAACGCCATCTTTACATCATCTCCTTTAGGTGTCTCGCAGACGTCTCAGGCTCAGTGTGTCCAGACTTTAACTGCCCTCTCTGCCTCCTCCAGCCTTCCCTGTCTGTTGAGGGCAGCTCCACTCTTCCTCTTGCCAAGGCCAGCAACCTGGAATATACCCCTGACCTTTTTCTCTCACACACCACATGCAAACCCTGGTGAAGTCCTGGGCGGCTGCAGGTGTAGCACCTGCGGTGTGGCCGTTGCCTCTGCCTGGATACTTCTGGCCCTGTCCCGCTCGTCCTCTTGGCCTCTGCAGCCTGTCTGGGTGCAGCAGCCACAAGGATCCTGTTAGGCCCACATCTGCTCTCAGCCCTCCTTTCTCACAGCCCCCCCAGGGCCCGGATCGCCCGCCTCATGTCTCCCTGATCTTGCCCGCTCTGCTCCAGCCACAGGTCTGGAACACAGGTCTCCCCGCTGTCCCCTCTACCCGGAACACCCCATATTCCTGTGTTGCTTCCCCCGCTCAGGCTTCGCTCAGATGTCACCTTCTGAGTCTTGCTTACCCTCCCCACCGATTTAAAGTTACAGCCCCTCCCCCCCGTTCTTCTGATCTTTCTCCTTTTTCCCTGGAAGTTATCACAGAACAAACCCTACAAGTTACGGACGTGTTCTTTTTAGCTCGTGCTGCTTGGCCCCCACTGCCGGAGAGTATCAGCTGTGTGAGAACAGAGACTTTGTTGTTCCCTCGTGTATCCCCACCCCCGGAACAGTGTCTGTTCTCGTAGGTGTGCGGAGAGGTCGCGGCATGAGTCAGTGTTTCCTCTGAGGACAGAGTGTGAGCGAGTGTCTGCACACGGGCTTTGCATCCCGGCTCCGCCTCTTCTCACCTGTGAGAACTTGGACAGGGTTCCTAGCATACACGTCAGCTCCCCTGTTTCCTGGGGATGATGTTACTTACCTCATGGGGTTGTCACGAAGAGTCAGTGAACTAATGTGTACAGCCCTTAGCCCATGCCAGGCGCACAGTACTCAGCAAATGTTGATATTACATCGTGTTGACAGCCAAGAACTTCAATAGAAACGTGTGACCCTAAGTGGATTAGAGGCGTTTCTAGGGGCTGGTACACCTCTCTCCCCCTGGGGAGTGGGAAGACACCCTTCTGTGACTTAATGGCTGGGACTGTCCTCTTTGCTGGCTCTTGGGTGAGTTTCCTTGGCCTTAGATTAGAAATCATCTTTCCTACCTCATTCAGACTGGTTTTTGAAAACCGGTTTTATTGAAATATAATTTATACGTAATAAATGCACCTGTTTTAAGGGTATAGTTTGAGTTTCGCAGCATAACGTACTGTGCAACTGTTAAAAATGGTGTGTTGTAAAATAGAATTTATTAGTGTTTTGGGGTCAGGGACCACTTTGACAATCTGATAGAAAACCACATAAGCTTTTAAAAACTATCAGGATTTATTCTATATCATTGAAAAGTTTTAGCGAGGAAGATTATTCTTTTCTGAAGAATTACATGTTTATGTTTCTCTGTTTTCATGTACAATATAGTGGCCAGTCTCTGAAATAAATCTAGATTGGAAGAAATCTAAATTGTGTAATTAAATAAAAGCAAACTTGTTCCAAAGTAAAAGCGTCATTGATGAGGTTGCTCTTGTTTGACTGGAATAAGAACTGGACGTTGTTTGGTGACCGTCGACTCGCGGACATGGGTCATCTTCATGTTTGATGCCCAGTTCTGCTGGCAGCAGGAGCCAGACCCTGGATTCACATTCACAAACGCATTTGGTAACAGGTGGTATTGGAACCCCTGTAGATTTTTTCACTGCTCAAGGGCACATTTGGTCGTGGATTACAATAATTTTCTAAGATTCTTCAGGTTAGCTTCACGTCACATCACTTCTTTTGTCCTCAAGTCTGTGAGAAAACCTTTAGCAGAGGTGGCCTCATCCATGCCAGTTTCTACCTACTGAAAGATGGTAGAAAGATGAGGCTTTGTCTTCCCCGACTGCATGCCAGAGAAGAACTTCCTCAGTAATGTAAAGTTTTAATGTTTTCCCTCTTTTAATAGGAAAAATAACTTTTTTTTTTCCAGTAGCACTCTTAGGGGCCCTAAAACGAAAGATGTTTTTTGTTTTGTTTTGTCTTTTCGGCCGCACCGTGTGACTTGTGGGATCTTAGTTCCCCGACCAGGGATCAAACCCGGGCCCAGCAGTGAAAGTGCCGTGTCATAACCACTGGACCGCCAGGGAAGTCCCCGAAAGGCTTATTTTTACAGAGCCAAAAACAATCTCTCAGTAAACCAAGCAGTGGATGAATGGAAACAAAAGTAAGATTTCAGCTTCTAGCCGTGGCTGAATAACTGGTACTCGAGCCGCCTTCTTGCCCTGAATAACTATCAAACTAGCAAAATGCATGAGTGAACTGTTTGCAGACATTAGACCACAAGCACTGCAGGTCCGAGGTCCCCTGGCCCCCTGTGCCGGCTTTCTGACTGGAGACACTCTCCAGAGATGAGCACAGGGAGGCTGGCCCAGCAGATCGTGGAGCTCATGCTGAGCCAGGGAGCAGGTCAGATGTGGGGTCTGTAGAAGTGGCTGGAGTTAAGGGGGAGGGTGCTGGAGAGAAGGAGTTCCGGAAACCTGCTCGGAGTCTTGGGCTCGATACTAAGGTGTACTGGGCCAAAATGATAAATAAATAAATTTATTTTAAAAAATTATAAAAAAATCGTAATACAATACCCCCGTGCACCCACCAGTATGGCCAAAATGAGAGCAGCTCAAGGCTGCTGGGGCCAGCAGCCTTGGCGGGGGATGAAATTGTCCGACCGTTGGAAACAGGCCTGGCAATTCAGCGTAAACCTGAGGCCTCACACCCCAGCAACCACTTGTGAACACTTACCCAGAAGACTTCACAAATCTTCACAGCAGCTTAATCCGCAGTAACCCCAAAACGGAAACAAAAGACTCCCAGTGGATAAACTTTATGTGGTATAATCCATGCAAAGGAATACTAGTCACCAGGGACCAGGAGCTAACGCCTAATACAAGAGCGGGACAAGCCTCAGAAGCTGTACACTCCAGAAGACACTGACCGTGCGGGCACGGCGTCCTGGGACAGGCAAAGTCACAGTGGTGAAAACCCTAGGGTTCGCCAGCATCGGCAGGAGGCTTAGCTGGGGGTGGAATGAGGCCTGTATTTCTGGCATAACAGGAGAGTTTTGTCTCTTGATAAAGAGTATAGGTTACACAGCTCTGCCAAAACTTGCCCTGTACATTCATTTCAAGAGATGTAAATTGTACCACGGTTTTGTTTTGTTTTTTAAAGAAAAAGCTTCCTACCCCCCAACAGAGATCCAGCCCCTCCCCCGTCCTCACCGAAGTGTTCATGGTGCCTTGTCCTGGAGATTCCAGAGAGCACACAGGCAGCAGACAAGACCCTCTGGAAATAGGGACCCGTTTGGGACCTCAAAACTGATGACCATGGCAGCTCCTGGATTGCAAGTCAGATCGACGTCAGGACGCTGGACAGCGTGGGTAGCAGCGTGGGTGGCAGCGAATCTTGCTCCTTCCCAGAGCTCTTACCAAAGCTCCGCAGGGTCCTGCGTGCAAGGGTCAGAGTTTTGCTGTCCGTTGAAGTTGACCTTGGCATGGAGCTCCTTATAAACTGGAATTTCTGGAAACACCTCAAGCTTCCACAGGGGGCTCAAAAATGAGAATTTTTTTTTTTTAAGGATGTGAGCATGACTTAATAAAAGTAAAGCAGTCCCGGGCTTCCCTGGGAGGCGTCACCAGTCCTGAATGCTGGACAAAGCGTGGGGCTGTTCCTCCGGGACCCCTGCTGTGGAGAAGAACCGTCCGCGGGGCCCTCACTGCAGCTCCTCCCTTCGCACCGAGGTCCACGGCGGGGCCTGGCCTCACGGTGCTGTCCCCACCGCGGTCTGCGTGGTGCTCTCGTTACAGAAAAAGATCTGTGAATTTGCTAGACAAGCAGGCGTCACACAGCCCTGAGCTTCATCCTTGCCGCGTGGGAACCTCCGCTAGTGAAGATGCAAGACCAGGGAGCACAGACGCGCATGCGTCCCTTCCCTTGAGACTAACGTCAGAGCCCCGGGCCCCGCGGGGACAGGCAGTGGCCAGTCGCTGAGGACTTTGCCCCAGTTTTTTTTTGTTTGTTTGTTTTGCGGTACGCGGGCCTCTCACTGTTGTGGCCTCTCCCGTTGCGGAGCACAGGCTCCGGACGCGCAGGCTCAGCGGCCATAGCTCACGGGCCCAGCCGCTCCGCGGCATGTGGGATCTTCCCGGACCGGGGCACGAACCCGTGTCCCCTGCATTGGCAGGCGGACTCGCAACCACTGCGCCACTAAGGAAGCCCCCCAGTTTTGTTTGGAAATCATCTCAGGGTTCTGGGGTTTAGAGTGGATTTTATTTTTATTTTTTTAGCTTTATATTTTTCGGATGTTCTGAATCTTTTATGTAGTTTTTAAAATTTATTTTTGGACCTCGGTGAACCAGGTTGCATCCCTCTGATCTGGCTCGTGAAGCGTGGTGTTGGTACTGCATTCATTTACTAGCAGAAGGGCCAGAACTTGTCCCGTGACTTGTCCCTGCCCCGTCTCCTCCAGAGCGAGAGTGTGAGTCTCCTGGGACCTTCCTTTCTGCATCGTGTTCCTGAGGCCTGCGTGTGCACACGAGCGTGGTTCATCCCTGTTCACCACTGTCTAAGGCTCCCCTGATGGATGCGTTACCATTCTTGTTACTGAGTATCTCCTGGGCCTTGTCTTCCCCCAGGCGCTGGTCCTGTCTGCTGGTGTAGAACAGCTGGCCGGAGTCCAGGTGGGAGGAGGGAAGAGTGAGGCATTAGCTGAGCGTGTGTGTTTATTCTGGGGTGGTGCTTGGTAGGGGGAGAAGTTGTCCCGTGTGGGATTCCTCATCATGTCACCCTGAGGACAGATCCCGTAGCCACACAGCGCCCCAGCGTTCTCTGGGACCATGACTGAAGTGGCCCTGGCCCCGCGCTGCTGAGAGGGGAGCGTCGTGGCCACTGGGCTACTGGACATCTGTGGTCCTCCCTCTACAACCTCAGCGACCTGGAAGGTGCCCGCCCACCTTTCCCCGCAACACGCGTGCATCAGAGAGTCACCTTTTCATTTGTGACTAGGACGCACCCGTAACGCCCTTGCTCCCCCATCTGTGTTTCCAGATAAACATCGAGGACCTCGAGGAGGCGCCCGGGGTGAACGGGGACAGGACCGACTGTCTGCTCATCGACGCCGCAGCATCAGGGAACAAAAGGAGGGCCCAGCGTGGACACTCAGAGTCCAAGAAGGATGGCGACGTGACGGACGCGGCGGTTCCCCCAGAGCAGGTGCAGCTCCCCCTACACACCCCGCTGGCATTCTCTGTGAGGGCCATTTTGTGAATTGCCCGGCTGCCCCCAGACTTCCTTGGGAGCCCTTATCAGATTGGCTTGGAGTCCTCAAGACTGGTGGCGGCTGGCGAGGGGCCACAGTCCGGGTCCCCTAGACACGTCTCCCTGGCACGAGGCCTGCCCCTTCTGTTTTGGGAGAGTGCCCTTCTGCCCAGGCCGGGTGTGTTCTTTGCGACTGTGTGTCTGCAGCTCGGGCCGGGTGGACCAGGGCCCTTGGTGGGTGCCCTTGAAGAGACACATAGGCCAGGTCAGGGTTGGGTGTGGCACCTGAGCAGCGCAGTGAGGAAGGGGGTCCCTGTAGGAGGCTCTTCGTCACTCACCCAGCAAGTGCTCACTGCGAGCCAGTCTGTGCCCCCCAGGGACCTCTGGTGCAGCTGGGCCCTCGACTGGTCTTGGGGTGCCGGGGGTCTTCCTCGAGCACCTTCACACTGATGGAAGGTGGTGGCCGGGGGAAGGCACGAGCGGTCTTGAGGTGGGGGGACTGCAGGTGTGGCGGCCTGCAGTGTGGAGCCCTGGGCTCCAGGCCGGCTGAGTGTGGCAGACAGTGGTTGACACGGTGACGGGTGAGAACGGAGGGCAGGTGGGCGGAGGGTCCAGACCCCGTGAGTGGTCAGGGAGACCTCAGAAAGGTGGGGGCCAGCCAGCGTCAGGGAGACCAGTGGGAGGTGTCAGTTGCTGGAGAGAAGTGGATGTCTTCATAGGACATTCAGAAGGTGGACGGCCGGGCGGTGGGCCTGCTGCTCTGTCTTCCTGCAACTGGGTGTCCCCCTGCAGCTGGCTGCTCTAGTTCTCGGATTTAAGATGTCATTGTGTCTTTCCATTTACCGAAATGAGCTTCTTTTGTCAGTCTAATACAAGTGGCAAACTCCGCAAGAAGAAAAGGAAACAGAAAAATAAGAAAAACGCTGCAGGAGAAAGCTCGGTATGTGTGGCTGGTGGATTTGCTCTCTGTGTTCTTTTCGGAATGTTTCTTGAGGTGGTGTTGAAAACATGTCGTTTTTTCTTGATATTTTTATTTGACTAATTCAGAGGTCAGGGGAAATTACCAAATTTGTTCCCTTTGATCCTTGAGGGTTAGAGCCCATCTCCGTGCTTTCCATTTTCTAGCAAACGTCCGAAATGATGCTCTTCCGTTGGCAGAGTCCCTTCCTGGTCTGTGATTCTGACTGTTCCTCTTACGAAGCATCTCTTCTTTTTTCTAAATGTACGTGCAGTACAGGGTGTTCAGATTGTATTGTCTTTCAGGAAGGAAACACAATATAATACTTGTTCTTTGTAAGAGTAAATCTTGCTATTGATGGTTACTTATAAAAGTCAGCAAGTCAGTGTGGTAGTGAACATGTCATTTGGGGACTTGCAGGAGAATGGACTGGAGGACATCGACCGCATCCTGGAGAGGATTGAGGATGCCAGCGGCTCCAGCCGCCCAGGCCCGCCCCCACTGAGTGCCAAGAAGCATGTCCTATACGTGGAGCACAGGTGTGGCTTCGCCGAGTGAGGAGCGCTCGTCTTCGGGGACAGAGGGGAGGGGACGGGGCAGCCCTGACCTTCCAGGACCTTTCTCTAGCTCTGCGTGTCTGGGAACGTTCTTTCTTGAGCTGCATTAAAGCTGCTATTCGGGGGTGAATTTTCCACCCCCTGTTCCTGTAGGTGCTTAATGAAACCCTGTCCCTACCGCAGACTGTTGCCAGCATTCAAAATCAGCCACCTTCCTTCCTAAGGCAGTGAAGACCCCTCGATCTCGTGCCCGGGCTCACGCTGCTCTGACTCGGCCTGGCGAGTGGTGGCCGGTCTCGGCCACGGGCCGTGTGGTTGCAGAGAAATCAGGCCTGCTGGAGAGCTGCTCTCCATGCTGGGTCCTTATGTGACTTTCTGACATTCTCAGGATCGTTGTTAACACACTCAATTTCATTTTTCTCTGTAAAATTTTCAATTCTCTAGACACTTGAATCCAGACACAGAACTGAAAAGGTATTTTGGTGCCCGAGCCGTCCTGGGGGAGCAGAGGTAAGACCAACACTGCTGTGTTCTCAGCTGAGGGAAGGGAAGGGAGGGTGTTTACAGCCACAGTGAGAAAGGAAGCCCATGGGACCCGAAGGGGAGTCGAGGAGAAGTCGCGTGGCCTTGTCTGTGGGTGTCGGGCTCCATCATGCACTGCCTGCTCTCCCCCGCGAGTCCTAGTTTTACAAAGATTCTGAAGTTTGAGCTTCTGGCCTTGAAATCTTAGCCAGATTCATTTTTGCTTTTCGGTCGAGAGCAATACTGATGTGGGGTTTGGGTTTTGCGATAAGTTTGACCTTCGTGAACGTGAGTTCTGGTGGCTGGTGCCGTGCAGTCAGCGCCACGGGAGCGTCCGGAGCATGGGGATCCCAGACCTCCCGTGGGAAGGGGGCTCTTCTGCCTGGGCTGCTCCCTCGCAGGGCCCAGCCCCGACTGTGGGAGCTTTCCCTCGGCAGAGGCTTATAAATGCTGCTTATAAAAAAGAGCTGCTTATTCAAGCAGTTCCGAGCTGTCACCCTTGCCTCCCACAGATAACCCTTCAAGGCTGTTTGCTGCGCGTCCTGGGCCCTGTGCACATGTCTTGTTTCCTGGGGCCGTAGGGTTCTTCTATCTCTCACACGCCTGGTTTGCAGGCTGGGTCCTGAGCACCATTTACCCTGCACTACTGCGCCAGCAGCATGGGGGGAGCAGGCGCCCAGGGCACAGGTGTCGGGGTGCACTTGGCTGCAGTGCCTGCTAGCACTTGGCGTGAGGGTGCCCGGGAGGGGTGTCATCCGCTGCCCCCCGAGAGTTGAACCCCTACGCCCCCCGTCTGCGTGCTGCTTCCTCCTCGGATCCATGGCAGGTGTAGGAGGCTTTCAAGTCTGTCATAATGTGAAGACGAAGAATAGTCTCCATGTGTTTGTGTTTTTGGTCTTTTTTGAATTGGGGTGTAGTTGTTCTACACTGTTGTATAGTCTCCATGTTTGTTTTTTTTTTTTTTTTTTAATTGGGGTATAGTTGTTTTACACTGTTGTGTAGTCTCCACGTTTTTGGTCTTTTTTGAATTGGGGTATAGTTGTTCTACACTGTTGTATAGTCTCCACGTTTTTGGTCTTTTTTGAATTGGGGTGTAGTTCTACACTGTTGTATAGTCTCCACGTTTTTGGTCTTTTTTGAATTGGGGTGTAGTTGTTTTACACTGTTGTATAGTCTCCATGTTTTTGACTTCTGTTGTTTTGTTTTGCTTTGGCCGTGCCGCGTGGCATGAGGGATCTTGGTTCCCTAGCCAGGGGTTGAACCCGTGCCCCCTGCAGTGGAAGTGCAGTGTCTTAACCGCTGGGCCGCCAGGGAAGCCCATGACTTCTATTTGTTTGATTTTGAGTGAGATTGAGGGAATTTTTTCATGTCATTTGCTCACACTTTCCTTGTATTTCTCATTGCATTTGCTGTATAATTTGCTTTTATTTTTGGTGTAAAGTTACTCAGGACAGAAGGGTCTCTGACTTTGTCTTCTTTTTTGGAATATTAATGAAAAACATTTTCACTCAAAATGTTCCCCTTTTTTACCTGTATTGCCCTGGGCTGGACCTTCCACCCCAACCCGCCCTCGCTTCCTTTGCGTCTGCCTGGTCTGTCTATACATGTTCGCCTGGTCTTATTTCTGTGCATGTTACACTTATTACTAGTAGTTAGTTCATCGTAACTGCACTTACTGTTTTTCACAGTGTTACTATAGTCGTTATTTATCACGTTTCCTTCCTTAAACAATGAAGTCCTGTGCATGGGCTATCTTGAGAAGCCGTGGTCCCTCCTCGTCCCCTCGGGATCTCCAGGTGCCATGTGTGCTGCTCTCTGCCGGGTCCTCCCATCTGGACCTCCTCTGCCGCTGGTGTCTGCTCCCCCGTTGGGGCCCCACCTCCCAGTGGCAGCCTCTTCTGCATGGACGGCTCACTGCAGGGCTGGACCATCCCTGGGATTCCATAGACAGGACAGTTCTGAGCATCCAGTTAATTCTCCTTTTTTTCACAATTACCAATTACCCAGAATCATTCCACATTTTAGTTTCCTTCAGATTTTGACCATGGTTTTCTTGAAGAGTTGTTTTTTCTCCTGCAGTTTTTTACTTTTATTTCATCCCATTCCTAACACAATCCAGATTTTTACTCAATTTTTTTCTTAATGAAATAGTTCATATTATCAAAAAAGGTATACAGAGTAATATACATGGGTCCACTTGGCCACTACTCAGCTCAAGAAATAAAGCATCAGTGATAGAGCAGAAAGCCCTCGGTGTGACCACGGCTGTGGGGAGGGGCTCGCACCTGCAGCAGAGACCCCCGGATGAGAGAGCCGCGGCACCGAGCCCGGGGGAGGGAGCTGGGCCGGCCCCGCTGCCCGCTCGTGCTCCTGTGTCTGGCTGGCTTTCTTCCAGAAGTGTGTGGGTGTTTGCTGCTGATGCCCCATCTCCGTTGCTTGTCGGGGTGGGGCCTCCCGAGAGGGCAGATGAGAAGGGCCCTCTGCCCCGCGCAGCCGCGTTGTCCATGGGAAGGCAGCTCATTTGTGTCCACGGGTCACTGCCGGCTCGCTCTCACCTCGTCGTCTTCACGTTAGGTTCTCACCTTCTGTTTCTTTTCTCCCTTTCCTAACGTTTTGCTGGACTACGGGTTTCCTGTTTTTCTTCCCTCTTCCGTGGTGGTTTGGTTGCTCGGATCGCAGTCTGCCGTCTCGTCCGGCAGGGTGACGGCCGTTGTCAAGGCGGTTTGCGTTCTGTCCTTGTCCTGCCCTTGCCCTGCCCTTGCCCGCAAGGGTCCGGCAGCACGGAGGTAAAGCCGTACCCTGTCTGTTTCTCCTCAGGCCGCGGCAGAGACAGCGCGTGTACCCCAAGTGTACGTGGCTGACCACCCCTAAGAGCGCCTGGCCCCGGTACACCAAACCAGGTGAGGGCGCGGGGCTGCAGGGCCACGCCTCTGCGTGTGCAGAGCCAGCGTGCGTGTGTGCGGCCGAGGGCCCTGCGTGGGGCTGGGGGGAGCCCCCTGTCTGGGCACAGACCCCCACCCGCCATGTGTTTTCTTGACCATGTGCAATCAGCGTTTCTCCACCTTCTTCCTTTGTGCTGTGGATCCTACGCCATAGGAAGCAATCGAGTTCATTTTTAAACGGTGATATTTTATATTTTGTTGCAAACTGGAGAGTAATTTAATAATAATTTAAAGAAAATTAACATTCATTTAATAACTTAAATTAGTAATTTAAAGAAAAACAGCAGCAGTGCAGAAAGGTTTGGGTGCAGGGTCGTGCCCTGCCGGGGGGGCTTGGCTATGTGGCATCAAGGATCATGGGGCCTCGGGGCCTGGGATGCCCTGCGAGACCCCCTGTGCTCAGCGAGGACACGGGAAGCCATGGCCCTAGTGGGCATCTCACCCCCCTTTTCCTTCACTCCCATGTTCCCAGCAGCGGCCCCTGAGCACAGGCAGAGAGAGGGGCTCATTGCCACGGGGTCCTGTAGGGCTGCCCTCGATGGGGCCTTTAGGAGGGTGTCGCCAGGGGCGTCCGGGACCCTGACCGGTCTCCTGAAGGTGACGAAGGGAGATGAAGTTGTCAGGCTCCTGAGAAGACCCTGGACCCTGTCCACCCAGAGTCAGCGCAAGAAGCAGAGAGAGGACGTCGTGGCTTAGCAGTCCCTGTCGCCTTGAGGCCTGGCAGTGGCCCCTGCGCCCTGTCCCACGCCCGCCTGCATCATGGCTCTAAGCAGACAGTGTCTGGGGCTGACCCGATGGGGTGGGGGAGGCGGGCTGTGCGTGTCCCCTCCCTGTTGTCCTGGGATGTCGCTGCTCCGTCCACGGTCCTGGGGGGAGGCACGTCTTCACAGGAAAGGTGTAGAGGCGCGTGTCGCTGGTGTGGCCCAAGCTGCGGGCAGTCCGCCCTGGGCATCCTGACGCAGGCACCCCCCACCACCCCAGGTCTGTCGATGCGGCTGCTAGAGTCTAGGAAAGGCCGCTCAGCCTTCGCCTTTGAGCACAGTGAGGAGTACCAGCAGACGCAGCACAGGTTCCTGGCCGCCGTGGAGTCCATGGAGCCCAACAACATGGTGGTGCGCGGGCACCCTGTGGGGTCGTGGAGGCGCGGCGCGAGCCGAGCTGCCGGAGGTGGGCCCGGGGCCTTCCTGGGCCTCGTCCCATCAGCTTCCTCCTGCCTCACAGGTCCTGCTGCAGACCAGCCCCTATCACGTGGACTCGCTGCTGCAACTCAGTGACGCCTGCCGCTTCCAGGAGGACCAGGAGATGGCGCGGGACCTCGTGGGTAAGGCCTAGCGGGCGGCCCCACCTCAGCTGTTGGGGATGTGGTGGGTTTGCCAGGATGTTCTTTAAGTAACAGCTTTATTGAGATAAAATTCATCTACCGTGAAATTCGCCCCTTTAGAGCCTGCAGTTCCTTGGCTTTTAGTATATGCAGGCTTGTACAGCCTCATCCGTGTTGATTCTGGGTCACTTCCACCATGTGCGAAAGAAACCCGCCTCCCCTAGCCCCTGACAACGGCCGGTCCGCCCTCTGTCTCCGGACTTTCCTGTAAATGGAATCACGACACACGTCTCCATCTGGCTTCTGTCATTTACCGTGATGTCCTCAGTGTTCACCTGTGTGAGCCGTGTGTCAGGACGTCATTCCTTTTGTGATGATGTATGGTCCACGTTTCGTGGCCTGTTTCCACCCTCGGCTCCTGAGAATCAGCCCCTGGGGGTGCATGGGCTTCAGGAGAGGCGTGTGGTTCCTCCGGCCGGAGCGGGCGTGGCCAGGTCACACCTCTGTGGTTGACGTGATCCCCGTGGGCACGTCCTCGCCCGTCACTTTCCAACTCCTAGTCTCGTGGCCACCTCCCTTCTGGAGCTTTCCTCAGGAGCCACAGAGGACGGATTTGCAGCCACCGCGCAGAGGCTGACAGCCGCCCCGTGTTTGTCGCATGCAGAGCGCGCGCTGTACAGCATGGAGTGTGCCTTCCACCCCTTGTTCAGCCTCACCAGCGGGACCTGCCGGCTGGACTACCGCAGGCCCGAGAACAGGTGAGCCGGCCACCCAGGCGTTCATAGGCGCACACCATCTTCCCTCGCGAGTGTGTCGTAGGTGTCACAGGTGACGTGGGTGCTAGGGTGGGCGCAGGGGGCGCAGGTGCCACGGGACTGTCCACGAGGGGTCCCGCTGGGGTCCCAGGGCTGCGCGCTGTGTTTAAAGCTTGAATGCAGGAGGGCTGGACCTGAGGGTGGACGGATCAGGCTGGCCTGGGGTTTAAACTTGTCCACGTTAGGAGGGAGCCTCGCCAGCCACCTCACCGCCATGGGACCTGTAGTCGTGTTTCCTTGCGTGTTTGGACTCAGTCCGCAGCCCACACGTTTGGGACCCTCGGGAACGCCTTGTGGGCAGCAGCGTGAACGCAGCCCCACCGTGTTCCTGTCACGCACGCCCGTGGGACCCTCTTCCTGCAGACTCTCTTGCCCCGAAGCCCCCGCTCTCAGCAGCGCAGGCCTGAGCGGATACCGCGGCCTTGCTGCTGACCTCAGCCTCTAGCCCCTCACCCACCGCCTGCTCCTCAGGGCCCTACGGGCGTGGGCACGCTCTCCGCTCCGGGCGCCCCACCCACCCCACCGTGGTCTTCGGCCGTCCTGGGTCATGTCCCTTGTAGGATGTGTTCTCCGGCTTGGGGGCTGTCGTGGGCCCCAGGGCACAGTGACCCCCACTGCACAGATTGTCTGCAGGGTGTGTGGGGTCTGAATTTTCTCTCTTGCTTCTAGTTGTGTGAGCTTTGTCTCTCCAATGAAATTCTTAGTTCTTTGCGACGCTATAAAATACTAACGTTCCCAGGCATTAACAGGGCAGGGAGCTGTTGATCGAAACGGCAGTCCACCAGGATAAATCTAGATGGTAGATACAGCAGCAGATTCTAACTCTCTTCCCTTAAAGGATAGTTTTTTTAAAAATGCCCGAGAAGATGCAGATCTCCACTAACAAATAGGCTTGGTTTTTTGTCCGTGCACACACGTGTGACCGCAGACAACAAGCAGAGTCACCTTCTCTGCAGACAGGACCCTGGCGAACGCTCACGCCGATTAGGCCCCACGGGAAATGCCGGCGAAGCCCGCGGGCAGAGGGTGGACGCAGTGCCGGACGAGGCGCCAGGCGACGTGCTCTGCTGCCTGCTGTGCTCTCATTCACGAGGAACTGTCTTGGGTCTAGGAGCTTCTACCTGGCCCTCTACAAGCAGATGAGCTTCCTGGAGAAGCGGGGCTGCCCACGCACGGCGCTGGAGTACTGCAAGCTCATCCTCAGGTAGGGCTGCCGCCCGCTCCCCTCCCTCCCGGGGCCACGGCCCGTGGGCGTCCGCGCTGGCCCACTGTGGGTTTTGTCTCCCTCTGCTCGCCGTGCTGCCTCCGGAAGCCTTGAGCCAGACGAGGACCCCCTGTGCATGCTGCTGCTGCTCGACCACCTGGCCTTAAGGGCACGGAGCTACGAGTACCTGATCCGCCTCTTCCAGGAGTGGGAGGTGGGTATGAGCACACACCAGGCCGGGCAGGGACGCCAGGGGAGGGGCCGGGGCTCCAGGCGGGGCTGGGACTCCACAGGGAGGGTCCGGGGCTCCAGGCGGGGCTGGGACGCCAGGGGAGGGTCCGGGGCTCCAGGTGGGGCTGGGACGCCAGGGGAGGGTCCTGGGCAGACCCCAGGGGGCCTGCCTCGCTGCCTGCTTGCACATGAGCGCAAGCGTGCAGAGGGAGCCGTGAGGTGGGGGAGGCCACCGCGGCTCGACCCCTGGACGCGTTGGTGCACGTGAGGTCTGAGACGGGCAGGAGGCAGGCCATCGGCTGTCTCGTTAATAACCTGCATTTCGCATCCTGGTGGTGCTGTTTTAGATACGCTGGGTTATAGATGATGTAGTAACGTACATTTCACCGGTTTTCTTCTTTATCTGGCTGCTGTAAGATGTAGGCTGGCGCTGTGCTCCCGTTGGGTGGCACCGTCTGGGGGACACGTCTAGCCGGGAGGGGGGGGCGGGGCAAGGAGGTGACAGCCTTTTATTTATTCTGTGCTTGAATTTCTTCACAGCACGTGTTGGTGTGTAGTTGAAAGACAGCTACATAAATTATTTTGAATTCTGGATCATGTGGCCTGGTTGGGCGAGGATTCCCCAGTGTGGGGTCTAGTTCACACAGGTTCCTGGAGTTCACAGAAATGCAGCTGCTGGGCGCCGCCCACGGTGGGGCTGCAGCAGGACGTCTGGGGGGCGGGGGTGGGGGTGGGGCGGAGGTTACAGAAGTCTCCAGAGACCGTGCTGTCACGTGACAGAGCTGTCACGTGACAGAGAGCATCATGTCGTGGGCATCTGCGACGTAGGCGTGGGGAGGGAGGCGAGAGAGCAGACGTGGAGGTGGGCCGGCCCCACCCCCCAGAGGACCCCGGCCCCTGCCTGACGCTGAGCCCTTGGAAGGTGGGCGTCCACTCTTCCCGCCCACCTGGCCTGGGTCTGACCGCACACCTCCAGGTCCTTTTATTTGCCTTCTCTTCACGGAGAAGGGGGACAGCTCACCCAGGGGCATCCAGGCGCCCGTGAGCTCTGCCTTTTTCGTCTGCACCACCTTGAAACACCCAAACCCCTTGTAGGCTCATCGGAACCTGTCCCAGCTCCCAAATTTTGCCTTCTCTGTGCCGTTGGCGTATTTCCTGTTGAGTCAGCAGGCAGACCTCCCCGACCAGGAGCTGAGCTCTGCGAGGGAGAAGGCCTCTCTCTTGATCCAGCAGGCGCTTATCATGTTCCCCGGAGGTGGGTGTGTCCCCGCAGCCCCCCCGCGGGCATGGATAGGTCCCAGCGCCTGTCCCAAGCTCTCGGGAAGATGCATTTTCCAGCGGGGCCTTCAGGCGCCGGGGCTGCAGTTTGAAAGCTAACTTTGCTGTCAGAGCACCTGGAGGTTTTAGGGTGTCCTTAGATATTAACAGTTCAAGCAAAACTTACCACCTGAAGTAGACGCATTTTCTCTGGCGGTGGGCTGGGTGTGAGAGAAAACGGGGCCAGGAGGGGCCAAGTCAGCAAAGTGGGTGTCTGTCCTCGTTCTCAAGTCCCAGTTCTCACTGGGGTGAGGAGCTCAGAGTTAGGTTTGTCCTGGGTCCTCTCGGGTGACCTGCTGGTTAACATGGGCCCCTAAAGTTGTGGGTGTGTGGACGGGAAGAGGGCCCACGGCCCCTCTGCTGGGCGACATTCTCAAAGGGTCTGTGACCTGAGAGAGGAGCCCACTGCCCTCTCAGGCCCTGGTGGGGCTGGGGTCAGGACCGCGTGCAGCTCCGCAGGGGCTGGGCCGTGCAGCTTGGGCCCTCGGGCTCCATCCCTGGCGGTGAGCCTCCCTGTGGGCGGCCGGGGTGACGCCTGGTCGCTCGGGGCTCCCGGCAGACAGCGCCCTCAGCCAGCCCCTCCCTCTCATGTCAGCTGGGCTCCATCCACACAGGGGCTGCCTGGCCGGCTCTGAGCCATGCTGGCCCTTCCCGACGAGGCCCCTGACGGGGTGTTAAGGCCCTGCATGGGGGGCTGTGGCCGCCAGCAGGGCCTGCTCGCCAACCCAGAGTCTACCTCCATCATCCAGAAAGCTCCCTGTCAGGCCCGTGGCTTTTAGTGGAGCCCGTCCCTGGGAGAGCGTTGGGGCAGGGGTTCTCTATGATGAGAGCATCCAGTGCACGTGCTCAGGGCTCCTGCGTGAGTCTCCTCGGGTGCAGGTGGGGCCGCAGGGCAGCGGGACGGACAGCCCTCCGTGGCGACAGGGGCCCCTGGGCTGGTGGGAGAGCGGCCTCCCCTGCCCCTCAGCCCTGGCCTTGCGGGCGTGACGGTCCTGCTTCCCCCCGCAGTGCTCATGCCTCTGCTCGAGTACTGCAGCGTGCGCCCCGACGCCACCGTGGCCGCGCACCGCTTCTTCGGACCTGACGCCGAGATAAGGTACAGACTGGTGGGCGCCCTGGGCAGGGGGCGGGCCTGGGTGGCGGGACTGTCCTCCCTGCAGGGGCTCTGGGGCCCTGGCCATGTGGGCATCAGCCTGGCCTGTTGGACACAGCGGGGGCACTGGGGCTGTAACGTCCTTGCAGCCGTGAGTGTGGTTCAGACGCCTGTATTGGCACCTGCTGCCTTTTAAAATTTCTCGTAAAACGTGAAGAAAAACGTGGGACTTGGGAGCCAGCCACCTCAAGCCCGGTCAGGAAACTGGGGCGGGCTCTCCGGTGTCTGTGCGCACGGGTGTTTGCGTTCTCCTTGTATTTAGATTTTGATCGAGGAACTTGTTCTTAGTAAGGACGCTGCACAGAAGCAAATGCCTGTGTGCCCTGCCTCGGGGTCCCTTTCCCTTGTCGGCAGCCCCCTCTGGGCAGCCTCTTTCCCCTCCAGGTCGCCAGCACGCCCTGGATGCCCACAGGCACCGGCGGGCGCGTGGAGCCTGGGCCCGTGGGGGTCTCACAGGCCCCACTGCCCACAGCCAGCCCCCTGCCCTGAGCCAGCTGGTAAGCCTGTACCTCGGGAGGTCCCACTTCCTCTGGAAGGAGCCGGCCACCATGAGCTGGCTGGAGGAGAACGTGCACGAGGTTCTGCAGGCGGTGGACGCCGGGGACCCTGCCGTGGAGGCGTGTGAGAACAGGTAAACCTGGGGCTGGGGTGTGGGCACTGCTCTCAGGACCAGGCCCATCTTGTGGGCGGCGCAGGGCTGCGGCCGCCTCCACCACTGCCCCTCGTCTCCCTGGGCCCTAGGCGCAAGGTGCTGTACCAGCGCGCACCCAGAAACATCCACCGCCACGTGGTCCTGTCGGAGATCAAGGAAGCCATTGCCGCCCTACCTCCGGTAAGGGAGCGGGCTGGACTCGGGCTTCTTCCTGCCGGCAGCTCTGCCCCCGGGTTGGGGTCACGGGCAGAGGCCCCTCCCCTCACAGACACTCGCGTTCTGAGAGGCAGAGCTGAGCCTGCAGCTTTCCGTGACCTTATGGGGCTCAGAGCGGTGACCTGGTGGCTCGGAGCCCCGAGGCCAGTAGCCGGCAGCCTGGGAGTGAGGCCCTGACATTTTGCAGGCCCTGACATCTCACACAGCATGTGTGAGCGGAGGTCCTGTGGTTCCCCCACCCGCGCCGGTCCCTGGGCTCATCCCAGTCCTCTGAGCGGGCCGGATGAGCGTCCTGCTGGAGGAAGGGCCCTTCTGCCCCCTCGCCCAGGCTTTCAGTACGGGGAACACAGCCTCGCAAACAAGGGCCGTTCCGTCAGACCGTTCCCACTCCCAGCGGAAAGGCCTGGTGCAGAGTGGAATCGGCTGAGAGTTGCCCCTCTGCTCTCTGCCTTTCTGAAGGATGTGAGCACGCAGTCTGTGCTGGGCTATGACCCTTTGCCTCCCTTGGACACCATCTACTCCTACGTCAGACCGGAGAGGTACTTCCTGCCTTGCTCCTTTGCCCACACGGCTCCGAGGTCAGTGCTGGGGCTCGGGGGGGTCTTGCTGCCTCAGAGTCCAGCCCTCAGAGAATATGGTGATCTGGGGTCACGGATCAGCTGTTGCAGGCCATGTGTTTTCACTTATTTGTCCATCTAAGGCCATTTCTCTGTCAGGTTCTGGAGCAAGTGGTGGAGATAGGGTAGGAAGCAGTTGTAGAATCCGGGAATAAATGTAAAATCAGAACTGCAGTAAGAACCTGCGAGGAAACAGCGGGTGAGCCTGACATGTGAAAGGCGGCTGGTGTCCAGCAGGAGCCTCAGCCTGTGCGGAGGCCCCGCCAGGGACGAGTGTCTGGCAGTCAGGCCGGGATGCAGAAGGCCCGGAGGCCCAGCCAGGAGAGCAGGGGCAGGCACCGCGGTGCCAAGTCTGCAGGCTGCCTTCAGAATTGGCTCATACAAATGCTTTCTTCCCCCTTTCCTTCCGGCCTTTAAAGCTTTACGTTAAGTAATTGCTTTACCTCACGTAGAGCGTGTGGTCACAGAGTCACCGACCTGGGAGAGTCACAGACAGACTTTCTCGTTTCCAGGCTTCAGGCGGACGTACTTTGTAGAATGAAGTCCTTTTTGTTCTCTGCTGAATTATAAAAGTTAAGAGTGCGCATTCACAGGGAAATACAGTCCCCAGTTAAATTCTCAGCAGGTTAAGATGAAAATTATTAATGATCAGTGTCTGTGGCTTCAACACCAAGCTGACATGCTGGGCATGGTCACACTGAGGATGGCTGGGTGCTGTGCTGGCTCCAGGCGCCTGGAAAGTCCAGGAGGGCTCCCCCCTGACGCATGCCCTAGAATCTTCTCTCCACTCCTCAACTCTGAGCGAAGGACACTTTGAAACAGCTTTTCTCAAGAGCGAGTGGGGCTTGGCTGCAGCGGCCCCACTCTCCACTCCACTCAACTGGCCACGTTCCGAAGGCCAGCCCCACGCTGGACCCCCTGCACCTCGGACCTGAGCCATTCCCCTGCCGCCCCCCGCCCCCTCTCTCCCCAGCCGCCGCGGGGGCTGCCCTCATGGCCCCGCCAGGGCCTTTCTGACCGTCCTGACTCCCCTTCCAGGCTCAGCCCCGTCAGCCATGGAAACACCATCGCCCTCTTCTTCCGCTCCTTGTTGCCGAACTACACCGTGGAGGTACGTGGAGCCCAGCACGTGGGGGCCGCCAGCCTGAGACCGGGTGTCGGGTCCCGGGGCGGGGGGCTGGGCGGGGGCTCGTCCCGGCAGGCGCGGCTCAGACGAGTCTCTTTGCCGCAGGGGGAGCGGCCAGAGGACGGAGGGGCCGGGGGTCCACACCTTGACCAGGGCTTGAACAGGCTGATGCTGGCCTTGCGGGACATGATGGCCAACTTCCACTTCCACGACCTGGAGGTGCCACACGAGGACCACCTCGAGGGCGACGAGTGGGACTGAGGCACGGGCGGGGCCCCAGCGCTGTGCAGTTATGTTCCTGATTGTGTGCTGGTCGGATCGGCCAGGTCCCCGACCTAGAAGTGCTGCTGTGTTGTCCACTTGCCTCTGCTGTTCTATAAACGTGAACGGGTTGCGCTCTGCCCGGCGTGAGCTCTTCCTTCCCGGCGCTGCGGTCGGCGCCCCCAGATCCTCACACCCCCCAAGGCTCCCCCGGAGCGTGCCCCGCGGCCACTCACGGCAGAGCCCCAACCCTGGGCAGGACCTCCCCGCCGCTGTGCTGCCGGCCCGGGGCATCGCAGAGCCAGAATCCATGCTCGCTTCAGTGAGCGCCGTCGGTGGGGAGGCCGAGAGGTGTGTTTTGGAAGGAACGCTCGTCTTGGCAGCTCTGGGGGGGTGTACGTGGCAGAGACTGGGGGGCACTTGATCCAGGGGTGAACGGACCGCAGGCTGGGGAGGGTGAAGGGGTGGGACCTGGTGCTCTTGAGTGAACAGCTCAGAACCACACGGGCTGCCTGTGACTAAGGATCCTGTTTGGTTCTGGAACGACCCAGGCCACCAAGGTTGTGAGCCCCACGTGCTACCCTGTACACTGGGCACCCTCCCAGCCCTGACCTCCACCCACAGAGGCTGCCCGTGTGCTCCAGGGTGCGGTTGGGGCCCCAGGCCGGTCAGTGTGGCAGGAAGTGTGACCCAGCCATCTCCAGCGTGCACCCAAGTCCTGGTCCGTCGGCCCATCTGCCAGGAAGTCTGTGGCATCCTGATCGTGATGTGGGGTCACCTACTGCAGAGGCCTGTGAGGTCATCCTTCCAGCTGTTCCCGAGTTGGGGGCGCCTCTGTGCCTTGCACACCCGTGGCAAGGACAGGGCCCTGCAGACGTGGTTACCCCTCCCACCACCCACAGCCAGCTCGGAGACTGAGCCTGCCCTAGAACCACATGGTCCCCACCAGGGTGGCCTGTGATGAACTTCAGCAAGTAAGTCTGCTGGGGGTCTTCTGGGAAGGGGATTGATCTTTGAAAATGACAGGCAAGCAAGGAGAGCTTGGCGCCCTACCTCTTCCAACCTTAAATACATTTAGGTGAAGGTGTGATGTGTGGCGCTACAGCAGCCATCTTGCAACCAGGAATCCAACTTTAAAATGAAGAGCCAGTGTCCTGGGGATAGTGAAGCAGAGGCTGGGCCCAGGAGGTGATGAAACTGCTCACCCCCCAGGCCTGGTGCCCACCCAGTGTTCTGTCGTGCTGCTCCGTCTAATGGGGGTGAGAAGACAGCCAAGGCCCTCACATCTAGGCACCTGCTGTAAAGGCTCAGCTGACCACTCAGGCCTTGTGCTGCTCGTGCATTGCTGATGGATTGTGCTCTTTCCCATCAAGTCACACCCCACCTCAGGTCTTCAGCATGGGCACCAAAGGGTGGGCACAAAAGCCCCTCTTTTCCCTGCGTTAAAGGAAACTAGACAACCCTGGAACCCAGACCCTTTGACCCAGCTCTGGGCCAGGTCTTTCTGAGATCTCTCCGTGGTGAGGGGAGGGGGCAGGGGCGCTGGCTGCACTCCCTGTGGCTGCTGTCGGGGGACCCCCATGAAGTCAGGCCTCCCCGGCGTGGCCGTGGCTAGACAGGGGCGCCCCTTGGCTCTGCAGGCAGAAGCTCCTCAGGCTGCAGCTCCCATGAGCTCCCTCACACGGTGAGCCTTCGTGTGCTGCGGGCCTGATCCTGTTCTGGTGCTGGGGACCCAGCACTGAGACAGTTCCTGCTCTCACAGCCTCATGAGTGGTCGGCACGTGGTCTCATGTGGTATGTCCTTTGAGGGGGTGGCCGTCCCCCCCCCCCATCTCTGGCCAGTCCTCACTTGCTTTCTTCCGGGGGCACTGGAGGTCGAGCGGGTAGGACTGGCCGCAGAGTTAGCTGTGGTTTCACGTGGCCGTTTCCCAGGACTGTGACCAATCGCAGCTCAGCTGTACCTGCTGTCCCCCTCCCTCGGGGTGAGAACCAGACAGGGAGTCTCGAGGCCTGCCCAGGAAGAGGGCTGTGGTCTCATGGCAAAGGCCACCCAGTTCTCCTGGCCTTTGAAGTCTCAGGCTGGGGCGCTGGGTCTGGGGAGGCGCGGCAATCTCAAAGGCCTCATTTATGGAGCCGTGATGACATGTAAGCTAGAGGCAGGACACTGCTCGCCCGGCGGCCAGGGAGTCCTGGGACTCACGTGGCAGAGACACCAGGGTTCAGGGCAGCGATGCCAGCACTGCCCCCATCGTGGCTCTGCCTCGTGGTCCTGCCCTGGGACCCTTTGCTCCCTTTGGGGTTCTCCACCAGGAGGTGGGGCGCCCTGGTTCCTGTGGAGCCCGGGCGAGGCCCTTCCTTCCACCCTCCTCTACGTGGCGGGTGGGGGACTCGTGCACGGCCAGAAACAGGCAAACGGGTCCACCAGGGTGTAAAACGGTTTGGCGGAATCTACCAAAGCTGAAGGTGTGCCTCTGACCATGCGGTCCCACCCGTGTGTTACCCAGCAGCAGTGTCTGTGACAGACGGGGGCCACCCAAATGCCCACGCGACCTGCGCGTTAACGACCGTTGCGTGCGTCCGCGAGGGTGTCTCAGTGCTGAGTGAGGAAGGGTCCGGAGTCCACGCGTATCAGGTTCCAAAACAGGCAAAGTTAACCGATGATCGGGGCCGGGAGGACACCCCGGAGGGTCTGGTGCAGTCGGTGTTTGATTGATTGGGTGCTGCATTCCCGGCTGTATTTGGATGAGGTGTGCACCAACCTGCATGTTTATGATTCATGTACTCTCATGTACGACGCGCTTCAATAAATAGCACCAACAGAGGCAAAGGGGGAAAGGGCCGTGTGAGTCGTCAAGGGCAGGGAAGGGAGCTGACGCTGGTGAGCAGGTGCGCCCTCCCCCGTCTGCTGAGGGGCACAGGAAGGACCCAAACAGGAACATCACAGCTCAGCACCTTCAAAGCACCAGACCCTCGGCCGGCCTCTGACTTCCCCCACCCGTGAGGGGCCGGCCCTGCGGTCCATGCCCACCCCGCCCTCAGAGGAGGCTTTGTCGTCAGCACCGGGCACTCTTTAGTGACAGAGTGCTGGCTCGGCTGCGGTGACCTTTTGCAGAGGCAGTGGGGGCCGTCGGGGGAGGTCTGGCAGCTCTGTCCCCGCCCCTGCCCCGGGAGGAGCCGGAGCGCAGGAAGTGGCTGGGGGTCCTTGGGGCAGGACCGCCTTCAGTCCGCGTTTAACGTGGGGCAGGCTGGTGTGTGTGCGCATGTGCGCGTGTGTGTTTCTGAGGCACGATCCGACGGCTTCAGGGAGGATGTGGTGGTCTTGCATAGGGCCTGGAAGAGGGCTGGAAGTCTCAGAGGCAGGTCCGGAGCGGGACCCCCGCGCCCGTGACACCTGGAGGGGAGGCGGGCTGAGCACGGCGCGGCTGGCCAGACTGCAGTGGTCTGAGCGCCAAGCTGCCGGGACAGGCCCGGGCGGAGCTGCGCCATCTAGCGGCAGCCCTCGCGCTGCAGCCCGGGCACACGCCCGTCACGGTGCCGCCCTCAGGGGGAGGGGCTCTGCGGAAGCCTTTAAAGGTCCTGAGGAAGGCAGGCGGTCTCATAGGACCGAAGGTAGCAAGAGGCCTAGAAATGTCCGGATCTGGGCGACCGCGCCTCCAGGGAAGAGGGGAGGTGGACTGAGGACCAGGACAGAGACACTGAGCCCTTAGGGCTGGCAGCTGGGAGCTTGGGGTCCTGGCTGGGAAGTGACGACTGGTGGAGAGGCCCGGGGCCGCGCCTGGGCCGACATTTGTCCAGCCCCGGAGGACGGAGTGTGAGGGGCCTCCCGGTGGAGCCATGAGCTGGGCGGGACCCTGAGAGCAAGGGCCCCTTCCTGCTCCCTGGCAGGACGATGCCTGTGCTCGGCCCCCAGAGGCAGCTGCTGAGTCCCCTCAACTCCACGTCCCCAGCCACCCCCCGCCTCGGGCTGGCCACCAACCAGACGGGGCCCCAGTGCCTGGAGGTGTCCGTTCCCGAAGGGCTGTTCCTCAGCTTGGGGCTGGTGAGTCTCGTGGAGAACGTGCTGGTGGTGGCCGCCATCATCAAGAACCGCAACCTGCACTCGCCCATGTACTACTTCATCTGCTGCCTGGCCGTGTCCGACCTGCTTGTGAGCGTCAGCAACGTGCTGGAGACGGCCGTCATGCTGCTGCTGGAGGCCGGCGCCCTGGCCCCTCGGGCCGCCGTGGTGCAGCAGCTGGACGGCGTCATTGATGTGCTCATCTGCAGCTCCATGGTGTCCAGCCTCTGCTTCCTGGGCGCCATCGCCGTGGACCGCTACATCTCCATCTTCTACGCCCTGCGGTACCACAGCCTCGTGACCTTGCCCAGGGCGTGGCGGGCCATCGCGGCCATCTGGGTGGCCAGCATCCTCGCCAGCACCCTCTTCATCGCCTACTACAACCACACGGCCGTCCTGCTCGGTCTCGTGAGCTTCTTCGTAGCCATGCTGGTGCTCATGGCGGTGCTGTATGTCCACATGCTGGCCCGGGCGTGCCAGCACGCCCGGGGCATTGCCCGGCTCCACAAGAGGCAGCGCTGCACCCAGCAGGGCTTCGGCCTCAAGGGCGCAGCCACCCTCACCATCCTGCTGGGCACCTTCTTCCTCTGCTGGGGCCCCTTCTTCCTCCACCTCTCGCTCATCGTCCTGTGCCCTCAGCACCCCACCTGTGGCTGCGTCTTCAAGAACTTCAAACTCCTCCTCACCCTGGTCATCTGCAGCGCCATCGTGGACCCGCTCATCTACGCCTTCCGCAGCCAGGAGCTCCGGAAGACGCTCCAAGAGGTGCTGCAGGGCTCCTGGTGAGCTGCTGGGCAGAGGGAGGAGGTGCTGTCGTGCGGCCCAAGCCCTGGGTGGCCGGGGCGGTCCCTTGGCAGAGAGGACGGGCTAGGCCATCTCTGAAGGTGTGGATGCACAGATCCTCTGGGGTCCGGGAGGGGAATGGCATGAAGCTCCAGGAGGAGCTGTGGGGGATGGATGAGGCTGGGGAGACTGCGGGGCACAACCCACGTCTCTCGAGTCCCCCCCTCGTGCAGAGACCCGCCGCACCCACTCTGGGACTGCCCCCCCCCCGACCCCCGTCCACTGGGATGTGCAGTGTGGT